ATAGAGTGGATTTTGTAATCGCCACAGCAACCCAACAATAACTTCTCCAAGGTGGCTCAGTGAATATGGTGCTTGCTCACTAACCAGGAGGACTTGGGTTTGATCCCAGTGTTGATACTAGAAACATTATATATGTTATTATTAAAGGATTTTATTAAATGAAATAAAAATCTAACTGGAAGTAGACAAGTTTTACCACACGCTTGATTTGAATGATAAAGATGTAGAATATGGCGAAGGATTTTATTAAATAAAATAAAAATCTAAATGGAAGTAGACAAGTATCACCACACGCTTAATTTGAATGATAAAGATGTAGAATATGGCAACAATGTTGTGTTTAATATGTATATTTACGTTAGTTGTAGTAATATATATTATATATTGTAACTGTACCTGCACGTCTACATCACGCCAGTAGTCTGTTCCATTCTTCACACATGGTATATTAACATCAAACCCCTCAAATACCTAACGGCATATTATCACATATATATTAACCTATCAACAGACATAAAGGTCAACGCCTTGATATTTCATGTTTTTTCTGGATGGGGTGCAAAAAATAAACACAAGACATTGTCTGGAAATAGTTGAGGTTAGTGATGGATATTGGGTATTAATCGTATTTAGATAAGACAAAGCAATATCTCGATTTCAACGGACCCCAGATCATAAAAACCTTGAAAATACACGAAAACGTTGACAGACGCGCATTCTAGATGCTCGCTGGTAATAATTAATCATTTTTACGGCACATGTAGTGGTGGATGAATATCGAGAGGACACGTTGATGTAATTTGGTTGATGTATTTGATATCGCAAGGGTCTAGTAATAATGTTTTAAATATGTTGATCTTTATGCTAGGATTACCCTTTTGTTTCTGTTCTTTTATCTGCGTCAGTAGATCGTGTTAGAAATAGACAGGCGTGGTTAGGCGGAGTTACGTATTAATCATACATAAACAGCATGTGGTAATTGTGTAACATCTTTGAATTGCCGTCAGGCAGGGCTAAAGGTATCAACCTTTCATATATTGGTTTTGGTTCCTTAATTAAAGATACATAATGGGAGATTAGATAAAGAGCTAGCAGTTCTCACTATAATAGTTAAAAACTAGATAATGTAAAAAAATACATGGTTGGAATCAGGGATTTTAATATTTATAAACATAAAAATTAATAATTCATTTTCAAAATGTAAAGCGGTTAACTTGACCATCAGGCCACTCCAATTTGAGAGGTTGATCTTAACGAGTGGACATTGAACCCCATCTCTCTCTCTCTCTCTGGAACCCCTACAGCTATTAGAATTTTGCTTCTTCCTTTTTTTGGGTGGATAAGTTCTAGAATGTTTATTTTGAAATTCTGAACAAAACAAAATTCGCAAGGAGTTGCTATTTATTTATCTAGGCCCCTAAAAATTAAATTGTGTTGGCCTTCATAGACATGTTCTATTAAATCTGTTTAATTGTAATTTTATGCAATCTGTATTCAAATAGCTTTTTCTTCTAGAAAGGTTTTTGTAATTCAAACAATACTTAATGAAATATTTACCAAATAAATGAAAACTTGTTCTATTGAAACAGACTTTGTTTCATGTGACAATGGTGTCTGTTAGAAGTATTGTATGTATGCAATTCATATTTACATATTGAATAATGATTCATAAAATTGTAAACAGTTGTCTGATTTCTCCTTTGATTGTAATGTATGATCATGTTTCATTGTTTTGTAACAAAGGAAGTTTTCATAGGGAGGTTTCAAGTTGTAAAACGACTAAAGGTGCAGGTTTCTCTGTGTCACTGCTTGCAGGAGCTCATGGCAAGAAAAAGTGCCGAGTTGTCTGCATCAGACAAAAAAAACCCCAGAGGTTCAGTGTATACCATTCACAAAATAATAGCAGAACCATGTACAGGACAAGAGAGCATGGCTGGGTCATCTGGATGGGACAAAAAAAATCCCATGAGGTCACATATTAGCAGTAGACAGTAGAGCTGCTATTCAGGCAAAATGTCCCTTAAGGCCCAGGGGTGTTGGATGGCCGAATGGTTAGCGTGTGCGCGCTGTATCATAAGGTCTATCATTGAGTCAACCGGCGTGGTTTCGATACACCGGTTGTACGTGACAAGGAGTAGGGTCGCCTGTCCAAGCTCATCGGTTTTCTCTGGGTCTTCCGGTTTCCTCTCACTGCTAAAGACCCCTACGCACAAGTGATTTATTGAAATAAAATTGAACCATATCTTATACCCAAAATGACCTAGTTTCTGTCGAGTGGACGTTAAACCCTGTTGCTCTCTCCCTCCCTTATGGCCTACTGCAAGGGGGATGTATTAGTCTTCATAATAGATCTGTTGGTACAGAAAAGTAAGCTGTTAAATTAACCCCATATCATTTCAGTTGTTATTATGTTAAAACCCTTTTGTTCAAGCATTATTCGAGCAGTGTACCCTGTGCGAATTACTCATTTAATTCGACATAATAATAGCAGAAGTCTTACATGTCAATGGAGATTGATTATATTAGAATGCATGAATCGGAACACTGATTCGGCAGAATGGACGTTAATATTCTATTAAAGAAATCATGTGAACTATGAAGGTAATGCTGCAATTGAATTTATCGCAACAAGATTTCTTAATCTACCAACATCAAGGGGGAAATTGACGTCAATATAACTGACAAAAAAACGACAGAAAGCAGACGAGGGCAAGATGGTTGAACTTAATTAAACGCCAAGGGAGATGTTGGCCATCAGTCTAATTTAACCAATTAAAAAGCTATGCGAGGAAATGTGAGAAATTACGTGTAATAAAAGTTATGGGAAGACAAGACGAGGGGGTTGTGTTGAATTATAAAACATACCAGTTATTGACTACATCGTCTCTGGTTAATTTCACTATAAAGAAATAAATTTAAAAGATGGTGTTTTTTTCTTTTTTTATTTGACCTGCGAAAGTTAAAAAGTTAACAAGAGATAGTAAAGATATTAGAAAGTTGATGAACAGAATTTAAGTAGTTTTAAAAGATTTTAGGAAGCAAATAAATCTGATCTATCAGGCCACACAAATTTGACATTTCATAAAAACCTATTTCAATTAAATTTTCTATTTGTTAGCAGTGTGGATTGAGGGACTGGAGAGTGAGGGGACAAATTATTTATAAATTTCGATTCCCTGGTTGTACGTGACAAGGAGTAGGGTCGCCTGTCCAACCTCGTGGGTTTTCTCCGGGTCCTCCGGTTTCCTCCCACTGCTAAAGACCCCTACGCGCAAGCGAATTATTGAAATAAAATTGAACCATATTTTCATCCCAAAATGACCTTGTTTGTGTCAAGTGGATGTTAAACCCCATTTCCCCTTCTCTTTCACTATTTAAAAATAACAATGGTTGCTTGCTCTTCTCAAAATCTTATGTTCTAATCTTTTAATTTTTGAAATTTTCAATAAAACTTACTCCACAATATACAAGTTGATTGTATCAACACCCTGAAGAAATTTAGATAGTCTGGCCAGTTATTGTCAGTGTGAATGCATCTTCTGCATAATATATGGATTTTTAATAATCATTATGTTACAGGTGCCCTTGTATATTTAAATTTGATTTATTGTATTTGTTAACAATTTACTATTAATATACAATGATTAGCATTGAATCTAAATTTGACTTATGTTATGGAATGATTTATACAGAGTCTGATTTATCCTAGGGCCAGCGCTGATACATTGAATTCTATTACATCATCCTTCAGTCAGAATCCCATGGGATGAGCATATGGTTACATGGTTATCAGAGCTTGTTCAACTAGCATTGAAAAACACTTTGACTATACAGAGCCTGAATTAACAGGATACATTGAATTCTATTGTGTCATGCTTTAGTCAGAATTCTAAGGGATGAGCATAGGGTTAGATGGTCATCAAAGCTCGTTTGGTCATGAACGCAACATCAAATAAATAGCATTGGAAAACAATTTGAATTTTGTCATGGGTTGATCTGTACATAGCCAGAATTATCCTAAGGCCAGTGCTGATAGTCTTGTCTGAACTAGTAGCATCTATAGACGTTCTTCACTGTGATCACCCATTGCCACATCTTCTTCAATACAGAAGAGCTTATTTGTTTACCGATCAACGGTAATAAAGATAATCGTGGACAATAACCAGACAATAAAACTCGTCCCCCGTCAAAACATCATACAAATTCATCCAGCGGGTCAAGGGTCATGGAGGTCATGATCTTTATATGCTTTATGAAGGGTTCCCGATTATACAGATAAGGATTTATTGCGGATTATTCAACAATTAAAGGGGTTTTTAAACAAAGGGACTCGTACAGAGTGTAATAGTTTATAAACACCATCGTATTATTATGGTCAGTAATAAAAGTTGGGTCATCGAGACTAGTAGCCTTTATGATTTTCACTGATTATCAGTGGGGGGCTAGGTCAACCAGATCAATTATAATAGACTATACAAGATAACTACACATAAATATAAAGACAAAACAAACAACTGGGAAACAATGACACCATACAAGATAACTACACAAGGAAAGAGAGACAAAGCAAACATCTAGAAACAAAGCACATACAGCAGAGATAAGTTCTGTATGCACAGATTTATAAACAGCACACTTTTTAAACAAAACAGATTTAAGCAACACATTTAACAAAACAGATGAAAAGAAAACACATTTAACAAAACAGATGAAAACAAAACACATTTAACAAAATGTGAAAACAAAACACATTTAACAAAAACAGAATTAAAACAAAAACATATTTGTTAAAATAGATCTAAAAGAAACAAACAGCACATTTAACAAAACAGATCCAAACAAAACACACATTTAACAAAACTGATCGAAGAAACACATATTTAACAAAACAACTAAACAACACATATTTTACATAATAACTTTGATCTGGAGGTTCCTTGCCTATGTGTTGATGACCAGTCTTAAATTGTTACTAATGGATTTTTGTTTTAATTTTTCAGGAGATAATTTTAACAAGAACATCTGCTGAAGAGAAGTTAGGTTTAACATTATGTTATGGTTCATTAGAAGATGAAATAACAGATATTTTTATTAGTGAGGTAAGAAAAGTTACATACGATATCTACATTCTAGTTAACACAGATAATTGGGTGGTCGAGCGATCTTAGAACATGGTTTGGTTTCAATCTCAAGCTTGTGTGTGACAAGGATAGGAAAAGTTTGCTGAACGTTGTGGACTTTACACTGGGTCCCCTGGTTTCCTCCCACTGCTAAAGACACTTACTTGCAAGCATACTATTTAAACAAACTTTTACCATATATTAGTCCCAAAATTACATAGTTTATGTTGGGTGCATGTTACTCTCTCTCTCTCCCCCCCTCTCTCTCTCTCTCCCTCTCTCACTTATACCAAGGTTTAAGGTTCCTTATGAGCTTTTGGTTTCTTCCCTTTTATAGCCCTACAAACCATCAAATTAGTTTATTCTGAAATGAATCTGGGATACTTATTTGTACTGGATGATTGGTAATCACCCATCCATACTCTCCGACTCTTTTAATAAACCTCGCTAAAATAATACATATTGTTCTCCTTCATCCTGGTATCCCACGTCTAATTAGTGTTAAATATAGCAAGATGTATGGTCATCATAAATAAACACCTACAGTCTTAACAGGTGGGGCTAATTAATATACGCTAATTAACGTTGAAGAGTAATTGACCACACCTGGTGTGGTGATAATGAGTTTTCGTTAGCTCAGAGTTATCTCACCTTTCCCCCTCGTTAAGCCAATCGTCATAGGTAATTAGTATTTAAAACAAATCATTCTCTGTTATAACACGATAATTATTTGTCTGGATAATATCATTTTCACACCAGATTTAAAGCATAAACATAGAGGTCAGATAAATGACAATCGTTGCTGAACAACTATCTCGCATGTGAATAGCCAACTTGTTCTAATGCCAGATTTCGAATATTGCATGAATAAACGTCTATGCACCATATGGAAGATTTCAAAGTGGATGATGAAAGTCAACTGTTTGAGAGAGAGAGAGAAATAAAATGAAATGAGGTTTAACCTCCTACTGTTCTGCTCTGACAGGGCTAATGGAGATGGACATATGCCATACAGTGTGCTATGAGGGAAATTTTGCCTGGACAGCCGCGTTATGACCTACTCTTATATTGAATTCCAACTGACAAGAGATCTTTCAGGTGCACACCAATGTTTATTGTGTAAATAGGACCTTGGATGTTCGTCCCATCTGAACAATTATATGTTGTCCCTTGTCAGGGCCTCTTTCCTACACCACTGACAAGGGGGAACCACGCCAGAAAATGTGAGAGAGAAACAGAGTTTAATGTCCACTTGACACAGACTAGATCATATTGGGACTAACATATGGTATATTTATGCCAATGATTCGCTTGTGGGTAGGTGTATTTAAATAGCAGTAGGAGGAAACCAAAGGACCCATCGAAAACCTGTGAGAAGCATGGAATTGAAACCATAAAACTTGACAGACAGTAACAGATTTTTGACCACTCGTCCAACCAACATCCCTCTCAACTGTCAATAATTCTTCTCCAAAGCTTTTAGTCCAAAATTTGTAAGTTTTGAAATTTTAAACTACATTGTTCATGAGACTCGAGTGGTTGTTATTATTTCAAGAACTCACAAAGAATTAAAAATTAGAAATATAATTGGTTTGCCATTACATACTTAGATATTATTAGAACCAAAATGACCATGTGTCTTTGAAGAATGAATTTGGGGGCAGGGAATCAGGCCTGAAAAGTATGATTCTAGTTGTACCTGACAAAATGTCTGGCACCAATGTTAGACGATGGCTTTGTTATTGGAATGGGCACCACAAATCAATATTGAGATGGGTAACACAAATCGATATGGGGATAGGGAACACAAATCGATATGGGGATAGGGAACACAAATCGATATGGGGATGGGGAACACCAATTGTTATTGGGATGGGGAACACAAATCGTTAGTGGACTGGGGAACACAAGTCGTTACTTGGATTGGAGACACAAATCGCTATTTAGATGGGGGACACAAATCATTATTTGGATAGGGGACACAAATCATTATTTGGATGGGGAACACAAATCATTATTTGGATGGGGAACACAAATCGTTATTTGGATGGGGAACACAAATCGTTATTTGGATGGGGAACATAAATCGTTATTTGGATGGGGAACATAAATTGTTATGGGGATCACAAGTCATTATGGGCATGGGGAACATAAATTTTTATGGGGATCACAAGTCATTATGGGGATGGGGATGACAAGTCATTATGGGGATGGGGATGACAAGTCGTTATGGGGATGGGGAACACAAGTCGTTATGGGGATGGGGATCACAAGTCGTTATTGGGGATGGGGATCACAAGTCGTTATTGGGATGGGGAACACAATGCTATTTTGAGCTTTGTGCTGAACGTGCATTTAAATATCAATAAAAACAATGATAAAAGACAAATCTGTGTCAGACAAAATGTCAGACACCAGAGGAATTGTTCCTGACAAAGTCTGAATTTGTGTCTGACAGGTGCCCTATTTCCAGGCTTTTCCCGGGGATAATATACCCAATTTTAATCTCTCATACAGATGGATATAAAAAAGTATTATTATTAATTTGTCATCCATGATATCAGGCTATCTGGTTATAGAATCTTTGTCTTTGATGTCGTAAAAATATGGAGCAGAAGATCAAAACCCTCGATGACCTTGCTAGATTATTTAAATGGGTTTATTTTCCACCGAAAAAATATTCCACGGCTTTTTAACACAATATTCATTATTCTTCTTAATTCACAGACGCACCATTTTTCATAAACTTTCACACTTTGAAAGTTAAACACATGTTCACCATGAAAAAGATGTTAAAATTAAACAAAAAAAGTGTCAAGTGGGCTTTGAAAATTGAAACTAGAGAGGAAAGATGAAGTGATAAAGTTTTTGTAGGAGTAAAAATGGAACATATTTGAAATTTGTTTAATTATTTTCTCTAATGGAGAACAACTCCATAACCTTTGATAACATCAAAACTAAGACATTTCAAAGACAAAAAAATGTTTCTGAATAATAGGAAAGTTTATTTTTTGTGACTTGGAAGTTTTTTTATTTTCGTAATATAACAAGTTGTTGCAATCTGTGAATGTGTTTTGACATTGGATGTCTTCTTCAATTTGAAATAATGTTGATATCCCACTATAAACACTATGATATGTCATTCATGCTGCCATATAATATAATCTAGTTTTAAAATGATGGCGCTTTTAACCTGGGAGAAGAGAGTTGATATGGACTATAAGCAAACTGACATTCTGATGGCCATGCATTTTGAAAATGAAAATTTTCACATAAAGTGATAAAATGCTTGCACATAGTGGTCTTTAGCAGTGGGAGGAAACGGGAGGACCCAGGGAAAACCCATGAGACTGGAGAGGCGACCCTACTCCTTGTCACGTACAACCAGGGAATCGAAACCACGCCAGTTGACTCAATGATAGACCTAATGATACAGCGCACACATGCTAACCATTCGGCCATCCAACCCCCGACTTTACCATCTGAACAGAGTATGCTTTCTTGTTCTGGAACAATTTTGTACATTCAAAATGCAAGTGGCTTTTATTCATTCTTTTGAAACATTGATTGGACATTCAGTAGTCTTTCATACCCGCCCTGTAATACTTCTGTATTTTCTATCAAAGACAGAATTAAAAATAATTTGCAAAAAAACATTAACCTTCAGAATTTTTTTCTAAAATGATTGAATTGTTTAAGTTAGAACGATTGCCCCTTATGCTCGCGAGGGCAATAATGATATTTTAAAGGCTTCATGATTATTCCACTAGGAGTCCAACTCAACTGTTTATCAGCTCCTGTGCCAAAAAATATTGCATTTAATACGAATGACTCATTTGAAGAGCCGAGTCTGAGGATTAAATAAATTGTAAAGTTTGTTGATATCATCCCTGTTACATGAATGTTACGATCAATGATCTTGGTATTTTTTGTAGATTTCGTTACAAGTTTGCATCTGAGTTGAGCACATTTGTTAACTAAATTTTTAGATTATAAGGTTCGTTGAATATGATCAACGTTAAGAGAGTTGTTAAATTCGTATCCATGGGTTCGACGTCTTTGTCGTTTCATGTTTTATTCTTAAAGTAGAAATATTAATTGATAAAAAACAATCACATCCAGTCTGCAAAGTAGTGTTTGTGAAATAGTTTTATTTAATGACCACTTCCACCAGACAATAACATGTTATATTTACATAGTGATATTATTTATAATGTGATTAGCGAAAAAGAAATAAAGGGATTATTAAATATTTATTAATTTATACAACCTACAACATCCAATCTTTAAAGAAGCGAGAGAGAGAGAGAAATGGGGTTTAACATCCACTCGACACAAACTAGGTCATTTCGGGACTAAAATATGGTTTAATTTTATTTCAATAATTCACTTGCGCGTAGGGGTCTTTAGCAGTGGAAGGAAACTGGAGGACTCGGAGAAAACCGACGAGGTTGGAACTTTAAAGAAGCAGCATTGTTACTAATTTATAAAAAAACAACCATGTCCAGTCTTTGCATGGAGTTAAAACATATAATTATTGTCATCAATATTATATTATTGTGAAAGTGTGTTTTAAACATAATGGATCAAAGTCAAGGATGACAACAGATATTTAAGACTAGACTACAATGCGTGTAAGAAAAACTTATGACAGAGTCCAAAATATTATTCAACTTAGTCAGAGGTCCCCTTAAATTCTAAAGCTCTAGGCTTCAGCCTACTAAGCCTATAGATATTCTGGCACTGGTGTCAGAACTTGTTTCTTGAATCGTGAGACATGTTCGTTCTAAGTTCTGTATGTTGACCACATGACTAATGTCCTGCACCTGCACAGAAAAATATCGAGCAGAAACAATTTGAAAAATAAATGGATATGAACGTGGATATTTTACGGTAGTGGTAAAGAGGGAAATGCAATGATTTTGGTTTTTTTCTAATTATAGAATACACCATTAACTACGATGACCTGAAAACCATTACAGAAACAAAAGCATGAAACTGTTAATTTTTTAGCGTCTTCATTAGTCGTCCTCATCGTCATACATCGTAACTCTTTAACTTCGTTACTATATTTAGCAACAGTTTTCCATGGAAATATTTTCTGGTCGTAAATCATAACGTTAATCTAATCAGCCGCGTAAATTTATGAGAAAAAGAACAAATTTCAAATTACTTTATCGAAAAATTGTGCAGTGTTATCAAGCGTTTCTCATTTTTTCAGAATTAATCAAAATGTAATGAAACAATGTTCTAGCTTGTTTTAGCATTGCAACGGTTACCATCCATCAGATAGGAAGGGGAGATTACTGTGTCAGAATTGATCCAAACGACAAAATTTACGAGATCGTTATGACCCTAAAGATATAAAAACAAAATAGAGTAATTATCGTTTATTGATTTCCATAGCAACGCAGCAAAATGGCAGATATGAAAAAAAAGATGATGGGTGATAATTTTAGGGTGATAAATTAATATTGTCAAAAAATGCGAAAAATCGAAATGTTCTGTGTATTGGTGGTGAAAGGTTATTTGTCAGTGCTGTCTATGACATGTCACTTTGACCTGACAGTGTGCCACCACCTGTTATTATATGCTAATGATGATATGTCTTGATAATCATGTCTATGTTATTATTTAGCTCATCTATGGTCATGATAATCCGGTCTATGTTAATATTTTTTTTCCATTTAAACGTTTAACGAAGGTATGGCAGACATTGTCCGTTCCACTTTAAATGTCATTTATTGAATTGTTATATAAATGACGTTAAAATTATAGATACGGCTAGAATAACAAGAATTTTTGATAACTACAAAATAACTAAAATAAAAAATCATTGTTAGGCTATATAATCCGCCCAAAATTGTCCAAACAGGGTAGGAGGGTGGTGGTGTTGGTCGAGTGGTTTCAATTCTCCGCTTGTATGTGATAGGAGTAGGGTCACTTGTCCAACCTCGTGGGTTTCCTTCAGTCTCCAGGTTTTCTCACACTGCTAAAGACCCCATATGATATTAAACCATATGTTAGTCCTGAAATCAACAAATTTGTCGAGTAGATGTTAAACCTAATTTTGCTCTCGCTCTCTCACTTTTTCTCTCTCTCTCTCTCTCTCTCTCTCTCTCTCTCTGCCAAACAGGGACCAGTCTGAGATGTAATCACAGTCTGGGATATATGGCCCAACAGTTTTCTTGAATCTTGTCATATCTATCCCCCTCATTTGTAACGTCATTATTGAATCGTGTAACTCTATACACAAGACCGTGATTCAAAAGTTATCGTTAACTCTTAATATTCTCTTTTATTGTATATCTGTATCGTATCACTTCTGATGAAGGGATTCACGCCTGCTGAAGATTAAACGTAGCCTAGCTAGTATCGATCATGTGACTAATATAGTCCCGCGGGAAGTGGGTAAGAATATTGACAAGTAATTTGTAGTGATAGGTCTGTTTTTACCCTGGGGCGGAAGAATACGATATGAAGGCTAATCTGGTCTGACATTGATTATAGTTAGTATGAATCAACAGCAGTAATTCAAGTCTTATTACAAAATGAATACACAATTTAATAGCATTTCTTAAACCTGTTTATTCTTTATCTCTAAGACCCAAATTGATCAAGATTTTGTCGACAATTTCCGGAACAAAGAGTGATGTTAATTTTCATGATCAGAACATGACAGGCAATGAATTAACCAGAAATATTGAATTTAAAATTTAACAATATCTCTATAGACGATATAAACATTTAGCCAGCATCTCATAATAAACTTATTTTTAATTAGAACAAATCTGAAGTCAGGAGATTGGATTAAGCCATAAAATTCATATATTGTCTGAAAAATGCAACATAATGATCAGCAACTGTAAAAAGAATATCCAAAGCAAGGAATCTGGAACTTTTAAAGTTTGGCCATTATCAACAACTGTAAAAAGAATATATAAAGCAAGGAATCTGGAACTTTTAAAAGTTTTGCCATCCAATCACCTTGGTGGTATAAGGATGACCCAAGTCAAGTATTGACACCACATTTACATCCTTCATTTCTGGTGGTGACAAACTAAAACTTTTATCGCTAATGTGAATATTGAAAGTAAATAAATGTCTAATAGCTTTGCCATATGTAATAAATGTACGAACAGTCAAACATCTGACTCTTTTGCAAATTTGATAAAAAAAAAATGTTTAGAATACGTAACATATAATATCATATTCATTCTAAACTCCAGATTTTACGCAAGAAATGATAATAAATAGTCGCACATGGCGAACATGCCTTCCTCTAAAAACACTCTAGATGGTTTACAAAATAATCCTAAGCTTGTGTTCTATTTAATGCCTAGAGATCATATCCCAATGCAGCTCTTTGTTCATGTAAGGTTTAACTTTCAACAGCCAAATTCTCTTGCATACATGCACAAATCTGAGCTGTCGACATTAACAAATAACGTGGTTTTTCGTATCTATGAGAAGTACGATAAGCTGTATTTTAGTGTTAAAAAAGACAAGTTATGTAAGAAAACCTGATAAGAAAAGGATGAGGAAGGCAGAATTCATTCCTGAGGTTTTATGTATATGACTATATGAATGTACATGTACTCATGTTTGTAGCAGATAATTTCTCCAGCTCAGAATAGAAATACAAAATTAGACTACACAATAAGAGCAGTTCTATATCTGTCAGGCCATTGTCTTGGGAAGCCTATTGTTCAGTAAAATGAAAAGAAACATAGTAAAGATCTTAAGAAATTGTATTATAATTGTTCTGTATAATAGGCCGATAGAATTTACAAACACCCACACTTCTCAGGTGCATTCTTGAAGAAAATTTTCCACAAGTTGAAAAGTGCACAAATGTTGTGTCAGTTTAAACAAATTAAAGAGAGAGAGAGGAATGGGGATTAACTTCCACTCAACACAAACTAGGTCATTTCAGGACTAACATATGGGACAATTTCATTTCAATAATTCACTTGTCAAAAGGGTCGTGATCAGTGGGAGGAAAACAGAGGTCCCAAATTACCTCCCACGAGGTTAGGCAAGCAAACATGCTCCTTAACAGTTGGAATTCAAAATAAGAGTATGCGTCGAAATGTTGAATTCTAGTCAAAATTTCCCTCATAGCAAACTACATGGTGGATACCCGTCTTCATTAGGATGACAGGTGCAGAAAAAAGGTCTTTCAATATTTTATGTATTTCTATTGTCTTGTTTGTATTGTATATATTTTATTATACAGTTCTCCTTCACCTAATAGATTAGAAACGAATAAAAAGTTGTTTTTTTTAATGTATAATTTCAGGTTGATCCATGTAGTATAGCTGGTAACGACGGTCGAATACGAGAAGGAGATCAACTTCTACAGATTAATAACGTTGATGTCCACAGTCGTGATCAAGCTATTAAACTATTTTCTGAACAACATGCAGATATCTCCTTAATTGTAGCTAGACCTCATTTACAGGTAATTATGATCCTTTCATCATAACCGTTGAACTTGTCCTTAATCACTGAAATAGAATGGTTTATTAAATCTCTGATAGTTATTTGACGAATTTTGAATCCCTTTTAAACTACGATATAGTAAAAGTTGAATCTATAAAATGGGGTTTAACGTCCACTTGACACAAAATAGGTCATTTTGGGTTTGATTTTATTTCAATAATTCGCTTGCGTGTAAGGGTCATTAGCAGTGGGAGAAAACCCTTGAGGTTGGACAGGGGACCCTACTCCTTGTCACATACAACCGGGCAATCGAAACCACGCCAGTTGACTCAATGACAGGCCTTATGATACAGCGCGCACATGCTAACCATTAAACCATCCAATCTCCCCTCTATAAAAGATCCCCTGTCAGTTGACATTCGATGTAAGAGTAAGCCGTAGTGCCGCTATCCGGGCCAAAATTTAGCTCATAGCACACTGTATGGCTTATGCCCGTCTTTATTAGCACATTCGGAGCAGAACAATAGGATGTTAAACCCCATCTCATTTTTTTCATTTCAATCCGGTTGAATCCGAGCCAGGAGATTATCTACGGTTCTCATAGCTTACGAGCACAGGTAACCTTATTACCTGTTAAAAAACAAGTATACCGTTATACTAGAAGGGATAAAAACAAAAGATGTTTGCTCTTTATTATCAGTGAAATAGGTGTGTCAGGAACTTTTTCTAGCTTAGATTACAATTTTGTGGTTATAATGTGATCTTTAAGTATACTAAAGTGAGGGTTGTTTATTCCCAGAAGCTACATGTGTACTAAGGCAAAAATACAAATATTGCTGCCTCAGGACATCATCTATTTCTGGCTTCCTAGATCTTTCTATGACGACCTTGATCATGGGTAGCTTTGAACTTTCAGACAATTTACACCCTCTGTTAATCATGAGGTCAAATCAGGTGAAAGACCAGTCGATTGAGTCTTGATTGATTTACCAGATGTTCGCTTCATGTGCGTTCGTTCATTTGTATCCTGTACGTGCATTACGGTGAAAAGACTCGATAATCCTATCTATATACCAAGGGGAATAACTGCCAAGTAGATAATTACCAAACGCCAAAGTAAAACATGTAATAAATACTCTTTTTGAAGTTTTTATTGCCATTTTATCAAGTTAAATAAATTCAGTTGGCAGCCGATCAGAGATGTGTGTAGATATTACATATCAAAGTACCGAAATACCTGTAGATGTACATATTTCAGGTTATGTAACAGATTTAATTACGAGAGCTCGTTTGATGTGAATCTAATTAAATAAATTTCGTTTTATTTCATTGACGTAACATGAAAGGTTTATTTCACCTTACAAATGAACCACCGATAAGTTCTAAATGATATATTCTGTTTGAAAGTATATTATTAAGTGTATTGCGCAGTTTGATATAAGAATGGATGAACACAAGTCCCAACTCCATTGGGGGGGGAATGGTCTTAAATGCACCATTTAGATCATAAGGTCTGTCATTGAATGGGGGGTTGGCTGGCCGAATGGTTAGCGCCAATCTGTTTCACAGAGATTTTCTAATATCTCTGTAACAGATGACTGTTTCGACACGTGACGTAACATCACACGGCATCAATCATTGGCTCAATAACGCGTGGATTGTTTACATAAGACGTTACTGATTCGGGCTAAATGTGAATTTTACTTATTTTAATACCCATTTACACTAAATAGGAAATGATTTTTGCCTATAAATAATTAAAACGTCTTTATTTATTTTTCTTATAAATGAAAAAAATGTTTTAGAATTTAATTTGACAGAAGAAAAAAGTTAATATTTGGGACTCATTAAGTCGCATCGATGTCATCCTTATCAGTGATTGTAGCGGCCTAGTGAAAATTCACTGCTGACCTTGTATTATAAGGTCTGTCATTGAGTAAACTGGCATGGTTTTGATTGCCCGGTTATACGTGACAAGGAGTAGGGTTGCCTGTCCAACCTTGTGGGTTTTCTCCAGGTCCTTTCGGTTAAAGACCCCTATATGCAAATGATTTATTGAAATGACTTGAACCACATGCTGGTCCCAATAACATTATATCTAATTCCCTATGATGGTTGGAGGTTACGTTAGAATCTCATGATCTTTCAAGCATCATCGTAACTTGTCAGTGTTTATTCCTCACAAGTAAAATCATGCCCAGTTGTTAGGATGGGATGGAAACCCGAGGTCAAACATGTACCTGTTTGCTTGCACTTTAAAGACCCTTCACAGCTGAAAAATTGAAGAAATGCTGTATGGGAAAAATTTTCCTCCCTAGCACTATACAAGTGACCATTGTATAAGTAAGGAGGAGCACCGATCTCTGAGGCTGGGTATAAAATGCTAAATTAAAAGTAGTGTGAATGGTCCTAGCTAAACAAAAAGAGGTGAACACCTATCTCCCAAGCTGGATATAAGATTACAAGAACATGTAGATATTATGATAAATATACATTAAGAAGACCATGCTTACATGTAGTTATAGGATAGTTGATAACCATGGCGACATTTTGTCTAGCTGGTCATATTATTCTCTACCTAATCAAACACGTTCTCACTTCATATGTCAGAATAATCCAAATATTATTTTACGGAAATACTGTTTTACTAATTATCTAGTTAGCAGAAATTCACCAAAACAAAAAGATATCGATCATGTTTTTCTTAACACGGGTTATTTTTGTCAATTTTTGACGGAGAATTGTCAGATTGTGTTCACTGTTTGGTATTGGTTGTCAGCGGGGAAGAGATTTTAACCCTAGCTACAGCTACATCTGTGTTTTCTTTCAAAATAAAGCTGCCTTCTTTTTCTTGCCTTTCGTATATTCTCTGTGATTCTGTCTCTAAGAATAGCTATAAATTGTAGACTAAGCTTTACCTGGGTTATTTGAATAATGCCCCGATACTTCACAAGTTGTGAAAAGAAATGAACGCTGTGTTTCATCACTATTCATGCTAATCACCTGCAGCAGATTGTGTTTTGCACTCAGATGGATTTACGTTACCTTGAGTCGGGTGTCTGGTAACATTCGATTATTTTGTTTAAGTCACTTTTATGTTGCTTTGTAGACTGTAATAGTAATTGCAGGAGAACCACACCACACACAACAACCAAACATTGTTGCCTAGTAACAAAATGGTGTCGCTTAGCAACACCTTTGTGAAATAATGCCAGATTCTTAATAATAATTTACACCTTTCAAAACACAATTTAATTAAGACAAATAACTTGATTTGAGATTAGCTACCATTGATGTTTTGTTTTCTTAGCTTGGATTAAGACATGAAAAATTAGTTTTTGTCATAAAAATGCAAATGGCAATCGGCGGCATTAATTCACTGAGTTTCGAAAATAATTTCAATCAAGACAAAGCAACTCATGTTTGAGAATAATTTACCTCTCCCCAAAAACCCACCTACATAGCATAGATAGATAGAAATGGGGTTTAACGTCCACTCGACACAAACTAGGTCATTTCGGGACTAACATATGATTTAATCTTTTTATTTCAATAATTCGCTTGCGCGTAGGGGTCTTTAGCAGTTGGAGGAAACCTGAGCACCCTGAGAAAACCCACGAGGTCGGACAGACGACCCTACTCCTTGTCACGTACAATCGGGGAATCGAAACCCCGCTAGTTGACTCAATGACAGACCGTATGATACAGTGCGCGCGTGCTAACCATTCGGACACCCAACCCCCCACCTACATAGCAACAACAAATCTCTAAAAACCTAAACAGCTGTAGAGTGTTAAACCTAGAAGATTTTTAATTCGAGATTATAGAGAGATCTTCAGTGGGGTTCAACTGAATAGAGAAAACGTGCAATTCACTGTTGGATAATATCCAATATTATTATTATTCTGTCTAGGGTGGTATTAATAAAAAATATATTTTCACCACATGAAAAGAACCGGAGGATTTATGATATTCCCGTCTTGCGTATGTAAACTTCAAGATGATTGGCCAATTATCTCAGAACTTTGTTTATTATAATTATGTGTAATTTCTTAACATGAAAGAACTAAATGTTGGTTGTGTAAAAATGTGGGTTATAAAAACTGTTTATGAATAGTTGTGTTAATGACTTAGAGATAAAAGAAAGCATATATAAACATTGTTTAAGATATTATAAACATTGTGTAAGTTTTATGTAAACATTGAGTTGTTATTTAACTAGTTAGAAGGATATACAAGAAATTAACTATACTTTATTTTAAGAAATTTGTAATTTGTGTAATTCAGAGAAGTTAAACTTTAGACACTGACAAACAATCAGATAAATAAAGATAATAATAATAATAAAATGGGTTTAGTGTCCTACTGTTCTGAACCAAATAGGCTAATGAAGACGGATATACACAATAAAATACTCTATTAGAGTATTTTTTCCGGGCAGCGGTTTTACCTACCCTTCTTCAAAATTCTAACCACCATGAAAGGGTTCTTTTACATGCATGCCGGGGATCACGTGGCTAAGTGGGTAAGACGCTGACTCGCTAGCCTGGAGGTCGGGTGTTCGATCCCTGCATTTGCCGAGAAAGTTCATCCAGATTTTCCGGCGTGGTTTCCCCTTGTCAGTGATGCAGGAAGGAGGGCCTGACAAGGTCAGCTGTCTAGTCGTTTTGATGGGACGAAAAACTGAGGTCCCGTGTACAAATTGGCGTGCACATAAAAGATCTCTTGGCAGTTGGAATTCGATATAAGAGTAAGCCGTAGTGCCGCTGCCTGGGCAAAATTTCCCTCATAGCACACTGTATGGCGTATGCCCGTCTTCATTAGCCCAGTTTAGGAGCAAACCCCATTTCATTTCATTTCATTTTACATGGATGCCAATCTTGATTTTCTTTCCCATCCAAATGACTAGACACTGTTCATTCCCAGGCTCTCAGTAATTTCCAAGCACTTTACAAAAAGTTTATAGTGTTCTAGCACAGATATCAAAAAAGATGAGTTTCAATATTGACTTCAAATCCAGTGATAAAAATCGATTTGAGACCATTTTGGCATGGATTAATCTGCGACAATTTGTCCAAAAAAGGCAAATGATGATGTCTGGTTACTTTACCTTCTCAGATATTGTTTTAGAGAGGAGGGGGGGGGGGGGGTGTTGAATGATAATGAAAATTGACAATTTGATGGCAAGAAAAAAAACCTGTACAGATTTTACTTCTCATAAAGTTGTTTTACCTGGACGTTTATTTTCTATCTTTTGTCATTTTTATAGTGGAGTTGATGAATGTTTTATATTTAATCATTTAACCAGCCAGAAATTCTTGTCTTACTGCTTTTAACAAAACACAACCAAAAAAAGAATTGAAAGATAAAACAAATAAAAGGTGGTTGGAAGAGATTAAAAAAAAAACAATTTTACTTGGAGATGATGCTTGATAACACATTGTTAGCTTGATTCTGGTGTTTTATTTGGGTTTTTAATCTTAACTGATTGGAACTTTTTTTTATTTTGGTGTTTTTGAATCTTAAAATGTGGTTAAAACTGTCTTTAATTTGGTTTTTGAACCATAAAATGTGGTTGAAATTGTCTTTAATGTTGTTGAAACCATCTTTACTTTGGTTTTTAAACCATAAAATGGGGTTGAAATTGTCTTTAATGTTGTTGAAACCATCTTTACTTTGGTTTTTAAATCATAAAATGGGGTTGAAACTGTCTGTAATTTGGTTTTTGAACCATCAAATGTGGTTGAAACCATCTTTACTTTAATGCCTTCTTACATTTGTGAGATTTTTATCAGGAATTATAATCAAAGTGTAATAAAACGTAACAGACCACATTTATTTTTGGAATTTGTGATTTTGGATGGGTTTATTAAATGTTTTTAAAAAAAATGATTTTAAAAACTATTTAAGTTTATGAATTGTAATTTTGTGTATTTTATAGTGTGAAGATGTATATATGGAGAATATGGTTTTAGATGATTTACATATGGATTTATTAGAAAAACATCACCATGACAACATGCAGTTTATGGCATCCATGTTAGCCAGGGTAAGCAACTTTACATCTGGTAGAAGTTTGACATACCATCGTATATTAAAAGTCCATAGTATACGCTGTTATTAGGGTAATACTGTGTTGGTATAGATTTGTAGCTCAGTTTAAAAAATCCCCCAAATCTACTGATACCTAGCATTCCTCAAACCGTTCAAGTCACAGATTGTTCGCTCCTTTGTGGGACTTAGTGTCCACTTCCAATGAGTCAGATATGGTCCTAACTCTCTTAACACTTGGGGGAGCCACAGTGGCTCAGTGTGAAGGACGTTGACTCGCTAACCTGGGGGTCCCATGTTCGATCCCTGCGCTGGCTGAGTAATTTCATCAGGATTTTTTTTGCCATTGTTCCCCCTTGTCAGTGGTGTAAGATGGAGTGATATAGTTGTTCAGATGGGACGAAAAACCGAGGACCTGTGTAGGCCTACACATTGGCATGCACATAAAAGAACCCTTGACAGTAGGAATTTTAAATAAGAGTAGGCCCGTGCGCCATTGGCCGGGCAAAATTTCCTTCATAGCACACTGCGTGATGCATGTCTGTCTTCATTAGCCCAGTCGAAACAGGACGTTAAACCCCATGTCATGGTGACTTGGATGGTTTAAGGCATTAGTTTCAGGCGGTACACCTGTTAGAGGCTTAAAAATGGTAACTTGTGTTGTGGACCTGTAGATAAATATAATTTTATGATCGATAAACATCGTTTATGAGTGTAAGAACAAAATTGTTATTTGTAATCCATGTGATGGAGACAGTAGCTATTGTATTCTCAGAACAAAGCCAGAAGATTCCAATTAATTGGTTTATTTCTGTGGTGAACCGTTTGGTATTACCATGTTGTTTAGGTAAGAAACAAAGATGGCCGAGCAAGGTGTAAACAAAACAATAACTCGCGCATCAGAAATGTCTCACAGACTTTCCATGTTGCCTTTTGTCAGTCCAAATTATTACCTTGTACGTTATTGTTGGCTCATGTCTCCAAATTAAAAGATGTTTGAGAACTTTGATGATTTCATTAAGAGGTAGTTTGAATTATTTGTCTGTTAACTTTGGAAAATATCCACCGTTTCGTATTCTCAATTTACGATAAATATCACAGACGTGTAAAAAAGATAAAAGAAATATTTGTCTGTTTGTCTAGCCACGTGTACCATATGATATATTATTATTGGCTGAAACGCAATCATTGTCTATCAGAATACTTATGTTTGATTGGTTACGAGTTTCAAAGGGTTTTTTTTATTGGCTATGCCTCAGTCAAAGTTGTATGTAATTTACGGTGATCATGTTCACATGTAGTCGCATTGGTGAATTGACTGTTGGCGGTTGTATGAAACGTACAGGTATATACTGAAGGGAAATCTGCAGCAATGTTTCTTGAATTTAAATTTTATCATCTTTAACAGATTCAAATTAAAAAAATTGCCTGAATTTCTGCGACGGCCTTGTTTGAATGTTCTGTCACCTGAATATTTGGCGGGATCCTGTGTGGATCCTCCCACTCAGCTCATTTTCCAGTGTTAATAATCTATCATAAAGTGTTGGAATTGAGTTGTAAATTACGAGAGTATGACCACTGCATATGATCCAAAATGGTAATTTGATGAAACCAAACTTGACAAATGTAACAATTTGATGATGGTAATATTTATGAATTTGTATTTTATTTTTTTATAGCGGCATCTAGATGAAGAAGGTGGAACGACAGATACAGCAACAACAGAGAACTCTTCTAATAAACAGGATAAAGATAGTGGTGTTGGTAGAACAGACGATAGTATGAAAAATGACGAGAGTTCGGAACAGGTTAGTTGACAATCAATGTTTATTTATGTTTTTTTTAGGCCTGGAAGCACTGGGTGTCTTGTTCAGTATAGTACTGGCTCACTTACCTGGAATTTCCACCCCAATTTCCCCTTGTTAGTGGAGTAGGATGGAAAAATGAAATGAAATGGAATGGGGTTTAACGTCCTACTGTTCTACTCTGACTGGGCTAATGAAGACGGGCATACGACATACAGTGTTTTTATGATGGAAATTTTGCCTGGCCAGCGGCACTATGGCCTACTCTTATATCGAATTCCAACTGAAATAAAATTGAAGCCTTTGCTTAGCTTGAGATGACCTAGTTTGTGCCTCGAGCTAGTTTGTGCCTCGAGTGGGCGTTAAACCTCCCTCTCCCTGTAATTGTCTAACCACTCCCCCCCCCCCAATTTTGTTGTGTTCTTCTTCTCTTTATTAATTCTGTATGTTTTAAATTTTCAGGAAACTTTTGATGCTGACTGTATCACACCTCCTACAAATTTGAAATTTCGTACAGAGTGCCGTTTAGATAAAGAAGAACATCATCATAGTAATGAAAGCTTCACATCGAATGACCCAGAGTACGCGAATAACGAAATATCTGCTGAGGCTTGCGACAAGTTTCGAAAAGTTCTAGAGAATCGTTGTGGTAGCAGTAGTTCTGAAAGCTCTCCCCGGAAACAGTGTATGCGTAAAGATTCTGAAAGTAGTCTGGAACGTGAGTTATCCATGTTGAATCACGAAATGGAAGAGATTCAGTTCGAGTGTCAGGAAATCGTCCAAGCACATCTTAAAGAACAAAGCAAGATGGTCAAACAAGAATCGCAGAAGTCTCCGCGAATTGTCCCACGAATGGGAACTCGATTAGATTATATGAAACAAATGCATGCAATGGATTTATCAGATTTTTGGATTCGTAAGGGTGAATTGTCAAATGTGAAAATGGGTCAGCAGCCATCGCGACCCATGCTTGAGAAGGATAAAGATGTGTCGACCACCAGTGCTTATAACACGGCTGAAAGTTGTCGTAGCACTCCCTTGACCCTGGAATTAAACCAGGCCAGTGACGAAGGGGATAAGGGATTCAAAAACTCAATGCTTTGCTTAGCTGTGAATGTGCCGTCGTCCAGTGACACAGAAAAACAAACTCAAACCCCAACTAAAGCACGCGATTATTCTAGTGACGATAGTGGACATGGGCTTGGAACTCTTCCAACCCCAAAACTCTGTGTCAAAGACCCTAAAATGCCGGAAAAGGTTTCCATGGGAGAATCGCTCCAAGATTTATACATGCAATATGCTGATGTCATGTATACAAACAGAGCTAACTTAGAACACACCATTGCTGTGCAACAAAAACTCTTTCAGCAACAAATTGAACAACATCGTGGTGGAGGTCAAAGGTCAGCTGCCGTGACCCCTAGTAGTAGTAAAGATGTTGGGTTATCTGGTAACGATGCCAGTAAATCGCCCAATACTAATTCTGATGGTGCAATGGAATGGGTGGTGAAACGACGTCCAGACGGTACACGTTACATCACACGACGTCCAGTACGCAATAAGTTACTCAAAGAACGTGGAAAGAAAATACACGAGGAGCGTTTAGGCATGACTACTGATGACGACGCCATGAGTGAAATGAAGACTGGACGTTACTGGAGTAAGGAAGACCGAAAGAAACATATCGAACGAGCGCGAGATTATCGCAAAAAGAAAGAATTAATTCAGAAGGAACGAATGGAAACCTTGAAGGAAGCTGAGGAGAAAAAGGAAGTGAATATTGTTGAACTCAGTCATCGAAAGATGATGAAACACAAAAATAAAAAAGTACTCGATAATTTTGTGACAGTTCAAGAAGTACTTGCTCACGGTAGCCGAGTACCTGAAGGGAAAGGGGGAAATCCGTTGCTATCGGTTACCACTGTATGATATCATAGTTATTTATAGTCATGTGATCATATATTGTCCAATCGGGGATAAGAACAGTTTAAAACGAGAATGACCAAGCCTATTAAATCATGTTTAGATGTATGTATATTTGATGATAAATAATGATAGACTTGATAGGCAAGGCTACATGTGTGTCTTGTTTAGCCAGATTTTATTTATCTGCTGCATATGATATTGACTGTATGTTTAAATCTGGTTAACTGTGACTTCCATGATATCTGAGACTGGAAATGATATGTGTTCCTTATGATAATATGACATTAGACAAGAACATCCAGTATCTAAAAGGTCAACTACGACAACATTTCGCCAAAGATACTTTTCTGTCCACAAAATTAAGTCTGGGAATAACTTCAAAGGAAGATTTCGTCCACAAAGCCACGATAATGAACGCTTTTTACCGATCTGCTTTTTGTGTTTTATGATTATTAGTGTATAAAAATCGATCATGGATGCTAATTAGTGAAACTGTTGGATGTAATAAAAGCTGTGTATGTATACGTGTTATGCATCAGTTGGCCATTTTGTGAAACATTAGAGAAACCCTGTGAAACGTATTATATTTAACAATGGCCATGTGCTTGCCTCTCGCCTACAGTGGTATGAACACAAGTGTAACTGTTACAAATTTGAACATATGCGTGTTTGGTCGTAAATTTTTGTTCACAAATGTGTATTCTTGATTTTTAATCGTGAAAAAGGTTACTGAATAAAGACATCATTTCTTGATTCTTTAAGAATGATTTTCTATCGTGAAAATGATACCAAATAAGGCATTATGTCATATTGTCAGTTAGCCTTCAATGGTCTGACTATTTATAAGACAATACATGATTAATGACTAACTTTAAATACCCTAATAACAATAATGGAATATATTAATTGAATTATAATTATTATTTTTCCCAACCGTTAGGAATCTGTTTAATTTTGTAAACTATGTGAAACGTGGTCAATAAGATGTGTATGTATATTAGTAAAAATTAACGACTGGTTATTGACGCCATGTTTTTCGTTTATTGTTTCCTCTGTTACACAGTCTTTGGCTACCAATAAAATGAAGGGAATTAGAAATGGGTCCGTCCCTGTAGTGGTGCCAGAATGAAGATGCTACATTGTTTGTGCAACCCTCCTCAAGTCTCACAATAGCGACCGCTTCCTAAAGGTCAGAGAGAAGAGGTAAAAGTATGGAGACAGGTTGTTTTAGCATTCTTCCTCAAGCCTGGCAGGGTAGACCACTTCCCAAAACTTGAGAAATTCGGGAGCAGGTCCACCATATAGGGTAGCCAGAATTGAGATGCTAGGTTTTTTGAGAACCCTTCCTTAAATCTTTGAAATTCGTGAAGAGAGGTTAGGTACAGACACAATGACCCTTCCAGAAGAGAGATATTTGGTTCTTTGGACATACCACTTCCCTAAAATTCGGAAAATATGTTAGGTTTTGCTGAGTGAGACCCATCGTTTTCCAAATCCTAGCTACATCATGTAAAATATATGGTAAAGTACATGAAAACATTAACACTTAAACTAAAGTATTTTAGGAAGGAGCCATTTCATTGGCTGGAAGCTTAAATTCTAGTATGAATATTAGCTGCGGAGGCTAATTTGTTAATAAAACGATTAGATAAATCGTACAGTGCAATATAAAAAAATTGAAATGACAAAATATTAATTGTGTATTTTCTCCATTTAAGAATATGATAATGTTAATATATATATATATATCATACATAAAAATATATATATATTACATATTCTATCAAATTATTATAAATATATATATATATATCTTGTAAACATTTATAATACCCTATTAGTGTACATCTCATATATACTGATTCAAATATCTTTAATTTATTCTTGTATAGACTCATTTTTTTTCTGCCTTGTATGAAAATTATGCTAAAATATGGATATTAAACGCAAAGCAATATCGACCACTAACAAAACGAATGTTTGAATCGATTAATTACCATCTGATTGGTTGTAATATATTGCCATCTATAACTGTCTAATCAGTAATAAGTACGTATTTAAATTAACCAATGAAAGATCAAGGAATGTATTAAATCTTGGCAGAGGCTGTCTTAAAGCATTATAGACCCCCAGGCAGAACAGTACAATGGGGCTCCAACCTACGTACTTGTACATCTACACACAGAAATAAAAATGGAAAATGGTTGATAAAATTAAACATATATTTATTGTATTAGTACTTCCAATAAAATCAGTGTTTAGATATTAAAAATATGACATGATATACAGTAAAGATTTACATATGTGTATAAAAAAGATTAGCATGGGGCCTCCCGCGGGAAACTACCGTGTGTACCAATGCTTTAAGACAGCCCTGTTTCTTGGTAGATATAACTGTATCCAATCAGAAATAAGTAAAAATAGATGTAATATTTAAATTAACCAATAAATGATCAAGGAGAACTATTAATTCTAGATGTAAGTATTTTTGGTATTTTATCATGTCAAGACAAAATGTTTTCTAAATTCTGCTAATTTTCCAATTGTTTACGAGAGAGTTTGTATTTGTTTTCTTGGTAAACATGAAATATTAATTGGATGTCCAGAATTCTTTTTGTTCTTTTCGCTGTGAGTGATAAAAGAAATGAAATAAATTATTGTTTTGTATTAAATTTTTCTCTTGTTTTTTTATTTGTTGATAATGCACCAACAGTGGAATATAGAAAGGAAAGAGGGATTGAGTTATTTTGTCCGCGTTAACGAAATGATTAAATCATTTTGTGACTAACAACCTTTCTTAGAAATCCAACTGTCAAGGATTCTTTTACTTAAACGTCAACATGTACATGGCTGAGGGTCGCGTTTTTTTCTCATCCCATGTGAACGTCTAGGCAGCAGTTTACTAAACAGCTCTCGAGAATGTAAAAATAAAAGGGGTGTATTTCTGCATATCATTGACTCAATACTTTGGTCATTTTGACTTATGTACGATCATTTTGTCTATGCTAGATAGGGGAATTTTACCCTGACAGTAGAATTTGGACTACTCCTTATCAAATTGCAACTGTTTTCCAGCCCTGTGTTGGAAAAGTCCTGAGATTCATCTCCACAAACACCAGGATTCAGTTGAAACATGTTAGTTGTGAGTCCAGTTCCCTTACTGCCGGACTACTGCCTCTGCCGCAGAAAAATATATACAATATCTATGCCAGGTGAATAACAAATCACAAATCAGTCAAATTTTATTCATTAGATAAACTATTAATATCTTATTCTTCTTCTTTCATCTCTGGGTGTTGGGGGGGTGGGGTGGATAGCCGAATGGTCAGCACTGGCACGCTGTATCATGAGGTCTGTCATTGAGTCAACTGGCGTGGTTTTCGATTCCCCAGTTGTACGTGGCAAGGAGTAGGGTTGCCTGTCCAACCTCGTGGGTTTTCTCTCAGGGTCCTTTTTCCCCCCCACTGCTAAAGACCCCTACGCACAAGTGAATTATTGAAATAAAATTGAACCATATGTTAGTCCTGAAATGACCTAGTTCATGTCGAGTCCATGTTACCCCCCTCTCTCTCTCTCTCTCTGTGTAGACAGTGGTCTGAACTATAACAATTATAAACTAGAACACAAACTTTTAATTTATTTGGGCCACATTTTGAAGAGTATTCTCTCAAGTTATCAACATATTAGCTTGATAACGTTGTGAGAGTACTTTTCAAATTGTCGCCCAAATAAATTAAAAGCTGTTCTTCCATAAGTATGTGTTATAGTTTATTGCTCTATCCAGTTACTAAATACCTCTAAAAAATTATAACAATGATGATTGGGCTCACTGACTGTGGCTATGTTATAACAATGTCTTATAATGAAACCTGCCTTGTAGCAAAATGGGGATTAACATTTGCTTTTCTGCACCAACTGGGCTAAAAAGACGGTGTGCCATAAAGGGGCATGAGAAACGTTTTTTTGCATGGACAGCAGCCCTACCCCTGGTTTCACTAAACATTCTCAGACTTAACTTAAGAATTTACTCAACTTTCAATCACTGTTTATGAGAAATAATTTCTCATTGATGTATTAAAACAACAAAAGTTTTTTAAAGGGCTATATTTTATTTAAAAAAAGGCAAACAATTTTTAGTAAATTCTTAACTTAAGTCTCAGAATGTTTGGGCCTAGTATACACAGAGCTTCGAATTTACATCCATAACTAGATGCTATTCGTGGTCAGGCTCTATGTCCTGTACCACGGACAAGGGTAAACATGGCTTGAAAATCCCAAGAATCTTTCTCGGCCAACACAAGCCCCTCCAGGTCAGTGAGCAAGCAGCATACTCAGTGTGAGGCAAAGTGGCACCCATGCACAATAGAACAATTTCATCGAATGAACAACAGCACATAGATGAAATAAAAGTGACTTACCTGAAACTTGGTGTATGGGTTATTCATTGAAGTTGGGCACTTTTATGATCTAAGGGAGATAACCACAATAAAATGTGACATATTCAGCACTGAAACCAGGTGGATTAATAATTTTAACAGATATCCCACAGTAAATCACAAGCTGCATCTTATATTAAAAAGGACACCCTATAGTGACAGTATTATATTACAGGGGGAGAGGGACATGGTGCTTTCTTGGTCAATACCGGACCTCCTGGTTACACTTACCCAGTGAGTTACTGTGTCTCTGTACACCGTTTTACCCCCTTCCCCTCCCCTATATCCCCACCAGTATATGGTACATGGTATAAAGAGAGAGAGAGAGAAATGGGGTTTAACGTCCACTCGATACAAACTAGGTCATTTCGGGACTAACATATGGTTTAATTTTATTTCAATAATTTGCTTGCACGTACGGGTCTTTAGCAGTGGGAGGAAACCAGAGAACCGGGAGAAAACCCATCAGGTTGGATACAGGGTATAAGGAGAATCACTAAATATAAATAAATAACAAAGACAATAAGATTATTATAAGCCATTTTATTTGTTTTCTATACAATAATCACAGTAAAATATTTAAAATAGGTCTGTTCCGTTATCTGATGATTTTTTTGTTTTTTTCATGCTATACTGGCCTTCATTACAGTAATATCGGAAATAATGTGTCACTTTCAAAAATATAACTTATCTGAATATATAGCTAACAACCTGTTCAAACTCTCATTTGATCGCTTTGCACCTTGGCAAAAAAATATGACTATGTTTGTAATCCAATTTTTATCCCATTTCAAATTTGATATCATTGTTTTTGCTTGGAAAAAAAATATATATCTTAAAAAAATTATAGTGAGTTTTTGAACATAAAGCATTTTGAACATATGATAGCATTACAGTAAACCACATTTAAGTACCATAGCCAAATCTTGTTTATTAAGCCATAAAATAAGCTACCAGCAGTTAAATTGCTTTAACCCTCAACTACCCCCAATTATGTGAAAAATTAAGAGAAAAGACATCTTTTATGCATTGAGTTTTGTAGTTCATTGTTGTAACCAGCTCCGAAACTCATTGTAAAAAAGACAATTTTTCTCTCATTTTTACAGGGAAATGGGGTATTGCTAATTTACATGTACCAGGTACCATAGGGTTAAAATATTTGATGAATGCCGTAATATTATGATATTGTCAATATGGGATGAAATAGCTACATTTCTCTACATCGATTTCATTGTTGTTCTAGAAACGTGGCTACAATTAAACTACAATAAATCTTTTCTATAAAACTGCATGTGTTCAGTTACTAAACACAGATTAAACAGTATCTGAATTGAATCCGTGGGCTCAAGACCTTTGTAAAGTTTTAATCTATAACTGTAAAATATCATGTAGCTCAAGACCTTTGTAAAACATACTCATCACAGTGTTTCATTTGATTATTGTGTTAATCCCACTTTAAGGAGGGATCTCTCAGGCCATTGCCTCAGGAATATAAACTGTAAAGTTATGTTGTAAACTATAAGTTATGTTTTAGACTATATAAAATTGTAGTCTAGTTGATCTATGAGCTGAAGACCAGTTTAAAGTTATATTTTAAACTATAAATATAATGTGTAGTTATAGAGTTCAATCCATGAGCTCAAGACCTAAAGGTTATGTTTTAAACTATAAAAATATCACATAGTTATAAAGATTTTAATCCATGAACTCAAGACTACTGTAAAGTTATGTTTTAAACAATAAAAATAATGTTGTTGTTGTTAGTTAGTTGTATTTTTCGTCCTGTTGGGTTATAACTGTGTAGTTATAGAGTTTTTAATCCATGTGAACTCAAGACCACTGTAAAGTTATGTTTTAAACTATAAAAATAATGTGTAGTTATAGAGTTAAATACAATAAAGTGCACACTTTGCAGATAATTAGTTATCTTCTGCTAGAAAAATCATATTTTAGCATCATATTAAAGTCACTAATAGTCAAATATTAGCACAAAATAATTGAAGGGCTCTTCACCAAAATCATATAATAGTTATTCATACCATACTCTCACATATTTCAAATATTATTTATTAGTAAAAAACAAAATTAAAAAATGTAGATTGACATGAAATGAGGCCAGATTTTGGATATGAGTGACAATTTCAAGATGGCTGCGATGATGTTATGCTCGGTTCTGGGTCCATAGTACATTTGTACTCATTTTAAAAATTTGTCACTATTTAATTTCTTTGTTTTCATTTGGGTATTTCAAAGTAAACTCACCAGTTTTGACCCCAGAAAGGTTGTTTATCACATTTCTGGAAAGAGCTCTTCAGTTTATCATTATTATAAATATAAACAAAATCAACACAAAACAATAATAAAAATGAAATACCTTTTATAATGTATATACTTAAATATCTATATAAATGATAAAAAAAATTCTGGGTATGGAAAATATATTAAATTTGCATATATATTATTATAGGATGGACTGGGATATGTAAACTTATATTATGGAAATGCTGGAATGAGAATGAAGTGCTGAATGTAAAATAGTTTGAGTGGATTACTGTAAGTATATATTGAAAATTTTATTTAACACTAAAACAGTAAATGTTATATTTTCAAACATGAAAAAAAGTAATAAACATAAAATTGCATCTTTCAAATATTTGGGAGTTAAAATACAGAGTGAATTCTGAGTCCTGTTGGGTTACAAACATGTAAATCCAATAGAGCTGTTGGCATCTTTGGTGTCTGTGACCCATGTGGTTGAACAGGGCCAACAACTAAGGGGTTTTATGGGGGGGGGAGAGGGGCGGAGTAGATAACAGCATATAATTCAGGATCTGACCAAAGTTTTTCATTTCTGGTTCGATACTCTGCACAAAGGCTGAAATATCCTAAAATATCCTAAATCTAGTGCATGATTTCGTTATGGGTGATTTTTACATGCACATCGTGGAAGAGGCCACATCTAACGGAGCAAACAATCTAAAAAATTTAAATTCAATTTCTCCTCTTTTGACAACAGAAACCTGTTTAAATTAAACAATACCTAGACTTGCAAAGAAGGAAAAGGCAGGAATGAACATTGATGAACATGGAATGTAGTTTAAAAATATCACTTATTAAAAATATCATATTTACAGCAAAAAATATGTACAAAAGAAAGCTTTGTTAATAAATTAATGTATATGATAAAAATTACAAGATATATTTACAAAACATTTACATCCTTGGTCACCATTACACAAATTATCTTGAAATATAATTCCAATGTACATTCAACATTCCAAGAACATCAGATACCACTTATCTTATCTATCATTCTTTATACATATTGGTAACTCAAAATTTGTGTGTTGGCACTTTTTTCTTAATCACTGTTTATCAGAACTTCCACTTCAAAATTTTGTCAGTCCGTCAATTTCTGACATATTTTATTTACGTCAGATTATCAATATATTTAAAAAAAGAAAACATGTGATAATTTTAGCATTATCACGATTTACCTATATAAGTGTTTTTACACTTATTTTTGTGTATTTAAAGGTTAAATTCATTGAAATTCTAATTTTATATCTTTTGAATTGACTGACATGTGACTTCTCAGCCAACCAGCTTCTCTGCCAGTCAGACATTACTGGCAAATTCGTCTGGAATGAGAGTCATGGTTCTGATTGCTACATGTTGACTGTGGCAAGGTTGATAGAGTGATATTATCAATGGAATGTATTTTGTACATAGTTAAGAATTTACAAATTTGTTTATTTTTCATAAGTAGTCTAATTAATTTATTTGTTTGTATTTTATTAAAGTAATTTGCTAAATATAATATAATATGAATTCTGTATTAAAAAGATTTGATAAATGAATATAATATAATATGAATTCTGTATTAACATGATTTGATCAACAGAATATAATATGAATTCTATATTAAAATGATTTCATAAACCAAATATAATAATATGGTTTCTATATCAAAGTGGTAAACCGCATAATATGAATTCTATATTACAATGATTTGATAAACAGAATATAATAATATGGTTTCTATACTGATGTCCAAAAGAAAGTATACACACTAAAAGTATGATTAAGTTTTGTTTAGATTAAAAAAATTTGATAAAGCATTACTGAGTTTGTTTCTTGCGTCCAAACTCAACATTTCTAAGCAAAATAAAAATGTGAAACAAATTGACATTCTACCCAAATACCGTATACCATGGAAAAATGACTTTGGTTGATGCAGCACAAAATGCACAGTGTATACTTTCTTTTGGACATTAGTATATATCAAAGTGGTAAACCAAATATAATAATATAAATTCTATATTAAAGTGATTTAATAAACAGACAAAGATGTGAATTTGATATTAAAATTAATAGCATTGTTATAATATACATTTATATAAATAAAGGTATTATGTAGGTGGTTTGTGGAATGTCCAAATATTGGAAAAAGGTTGGGAATCACAGATTTAACAGATATTAACACATGTATCAAAATAGTTCGAAGACCATCTTAAATTAACAATCATGCTTATAATAGGCCAGGAATGATTCACAATACATGATTAATTCAGAGCAATATACAATGAGCACAAAAAAAATCATTCAACCATTCGTTTTGAAATCCTTTATAAATCCAGGAAGAAGACACACACGCGATATTCTTGACAGGCAATATACAATGAGCACAAAAAAATCATTCAACCATTCATTTTGAACCCTTTCATTAAATCCAGGAAGAAGTTACACAGGATATTCCTGACACGCTGTGTACAATCCTCAACTAGGATAGCTCTCTATATTTGAAAACCAGTTAAGTGAGAGAGAGAGAAATGGGGTTTAACGTCCACTCGACACAAACTGGGTCATTTCGGGACTAACATATGGTTTAATTTTATTTCAATAAATTGCTTGCGCGTAGGGGTCTTTAGCAGTGGGAGGAAACCGGAGGACCCGGAGAAAACCCACGAGGTTGGACAGGCGACCCTTTTCCTTGTCACGTACAACCGGGGATTCGAAACCCACCAGTTAAGTGATCAGTGGTCTTAGTTCAGTACTTTGAAGAGTAGACAAACATCCATTTATAGATTATCAGCAAGGAAAATTACAAATTGAAGGATTTACAATTGAATGGCACAGAATTGTGTCCCGAAAATAAATTTGGTGTAAGCAGAATCGTGAAGTAATCAAATGTGTCAGCTATGATGATTGGTTGAGATAGTATTAGTATTAGTGAGCACATGCCCCGTCACCCAAAATATTCAGTTTTACTCAACTGACACCTATTATGATCATTATTAGGAGAATTCAATTCTGGAATGTTCCATAGAGTATCCCCTTAACTAACATTGGTGGGAGTCACTACAACCAAGTCAAATGACCTTATCTGGTGTCAAAATAAGCAAACAATTGTTCAAACCTCTTCCACACAATCATCCAGTTCTGTGAAACTTTTAAAAAATGTTGATAATATATATTTTAGCAAAATGGAATGTTGGATTAATTAAAGTGTTGGTGCCTTCCATTTTCGGAAAGATTTTTTCCCTTCTTTCATCCATTCTTCCCGTGATATGCACATCATTTCAAACTCGGCCATTCCAGCCACGGAGCAGGCACCAATATAAGCTGCATGATATCTATTCTGTGAGGCATGAACCTTGAAAGAAAAACGATAAAATTAAAGAATCCACCATTACATTATTCAAAATCCCAAATCTATTGAATGGGGCAAAGTTAGCACTATACACTCAGACCTAGAAATAATGATTTTAGATTAAGATGTAAATATTATTCAAAAGTTGAAAACGATTGAGGAACAAACAGACATAGCCTGTATAAGCTGTCAGTAAATAAAAGAATGAATATTGATATTATATATAAATGAAATGGGGGGTAACGTCCTACTGTTCTGCTCCAACTGGACTAATGAAGACGGAAAATTATAGATAAGAAATTGGTGAAAAAATAACAAAACAATAAAATGAGTATTTGATATTTTGGGCTGATCATTAAAACCACTGATTGGAAAGACAAATCTGTGGTAGACAAAGTAACAGGCACCAGTGTCATTCTGCACACGGAGATCCATTTTCTTCATTCTTCGAGAATAGAACTCTGCCCTAAAATGGCCCCCAAAACCCAAAATTAGTATACGGTTTTGTAGTGCGTGTCCACTTCGTTTCACATCTGCCATACACTCATAGAAGGATACTTAGTGTTTTCGACTAAAATCGTCGATTTAGAACTTAAAATGTCGGTCAACTAGCCTAGTGTCTTTTCTTAAGTAGAGCTAGCTGTAGACAGACAGCCTAAGTTTACTAGGCAGAAGTAGTATGTTTAACAAAGTCTGGCACCGGTACCATATTTCCAGGCTTGTTTATAACTATGGTCAAACTGTAACTGAACAAAAAAACCTGGAACACTGTATCCTTTTCTGGGAGCGCAATTTTACAAGGCTGCAACTGAGTTCCTATCAATAGGATCTACTCACCTCAATAGGCACACCAGGTGGAGCCAGCTTCGTTAATTCTGTTCTAAAGCGATCAGCGAATCCAGGTAACATAGTAACACCACCAGATAAATATATCGCCCTGAAAAATTATCAACACAAAATATATTGCTGTGAAAAAATATCAACGCAAATTTTTCTGAATACATCTTTGGGACCTTGGTTTTTCTTCCCATCCGAATGACTAGATAGCTGTCTTTGTCTGGCCCTCCATCCTGCACCACTGACAAGGGGAAACAACACTGGTAAATCCTGATGAACTTTCTTGGCTAACACCGGGATCGAACTCGCGACCTCCAGGCTAACAAGCTTGCATCTGACTCCTTGAAAGTGAGCCAAAGCTATACTCACTTAACCACCATGGCGCTTTAGAACATAATGGGGGTACTCGATTGAACATTCCGGAATTGAATTCTCTCAATCCCAAAAATAGTAACAATCAAGTGAAACGGTGGATTTTGGGTTACAGTGCACGCGTCGACTGAATAAGTAAATATCTCAACCAAAAATGCAGCCGAAACATATTCGTTGTGTTAAATGACGTCACGATTCTACTCACACCTCCTCCGTTGTCGGGACTGACAGAACTGTGACAGAACTGAATTCCGCATTACTCGATTGCAATTCTGTCAATTTTTGACGTTCTTGACTGTGAATCGAGCATCCCCTAGCACTATTATTTGAAGGGAGGTAACTCTACCTGTACATGTGTCGTCTGCTATCCATAGGACAAGCTTGTATTGCTTGAAAGATGAGTTTATGTAGATTAGGATAATCCATTTCCCACATATCCGTATCAAATAATCCTTCTGGACTTTTAAACCTTCCTTCATCAAATTTAACTTCTCTGAAATTATAAAAAAATACACAAAATTGTTAGTGGATAAAATGATTAAATTCACATGAAATTGTTAGTATAATGTATGACATAATAATAATTATAATACTTTATTCAGTGACACAAACCAAGTAAAGAGAGAGAGAGAGAGAGAGAGAGAGAGAGAGAGAGAGAAGGTTTTATAATAATTATAATACTTTATTCAGTGACACAAACTGAGTAAAGAGAGAGAGAGAGAGAGAGAGAGAGAGAGAGAGAGAGAGAGTTTAATGTCCACACAACACAAACTAGGTCATTTCGTGACTAACATATGGTTCAATTTTATTTCATTATTTCGCTTGCGCATAGGGGACTTAGCAGTTGGAGGAGACCCTATTCCCTGTTATGTATAAGTGGGGAATTGAAACCACACCACTTGACTAAATGACAGACCTTCTGATAGAATGCGCACATGTTAAAGGAGCTAAATCGCTAATATTTAGGACCTAGAAATTGACCCAAATGGGTCGCAACGCATATAATAATGTAATCTGATTGTATATAAACTGATTTACATTCAATTGTTTCCTTTTTGACTCTAATTTCAAATCAGTTATGTCCAGCGAAATACAGCATGTGTCTCAACCCTATAGCAATTTCTAGCGTCTGGTTATTCCAGTCTATTAAGCAGGCTCTCCAGTTGAATATGTCTAGCCTCGTTCTTTCTGGTCACTTGTTGCAAATGACGCTAAAACGCACTATGGTACCCATTCGTGTACCAATGGTAAAATGTTTATTTTGTCTTAAATATTGGATATCAGAAGCCTGCCTTTTCCTGGTAAGATCACAACATCAATGTTGATTTGAATTGACAAATAATTCGTATTTTCAACGGGTAAGACTTTGGATGATATTGAGTTAGAGACTTAGCTACTTTAACCATTGGGCCACCCAACCCCCAAGTTATGAAAGAGAGAGTTAATGAGGTTTAATGTCCACTTGACACAAACTGAGTAAAATGTATGGCATAATAATAATTCTTTATTCATAGACCCACAATACAATGAATATACAATAAATAGAAATGAAATCAAATGAGGTATAACATCCTACTGTACTGTATTCCACCTTATTGTTAGTTTTCATTTTTGAGTGACGACTTTGTTACTACAGGCCCGGGATTGTACAGCCCAGTGGAAGCTTACGTATTGTGTCTTGTCCTATATTTGTCTTGTGTAATGGTTTGTGTGTGGTGCAGTCCTCCTGCACTTACAGTTGGTGTACCATGCAGAGGAATAAAAATATAAAACTTACTTGTATGCCGTGGGTGGAAGATCAATATCATCTAATTTAACTGATGTTAATATTTTATTATCTTTAGCTTTACAATTCTCTAATTCATTTTTATAATTATTAGCAACAAAACAACTCTAGAATAGAAATATAAAAACAAATTTTAATTATTATAAACATTCCCATTGAGAGAGAGAGAGAGATATCGGGTTTAACTTCCATTTGACACAAACTAGGTAATTTTGGGACTAACATATGGTTCAATCTTATTTCAATAATTCGTTTGTGCATAGGGATCTTTAGCAGTGGAAGAAAACTGGAGGACCAGGAGAAACCCACGAGGTTGGTCAGGCAACCCTACTCCCATTCCCATTGCATATTTATCTTTTTAAAAAGTCTGGAGCAATCAATATTTACGGTTTTGATGTAAGTTTCATCACTCTCTCTAGAAAAACAATGACCACAGTAAACAGGAGAAAAAAATGACCAAAAACGAACTGTCATTACATGGAGCTTGGTCCAATTTTATTATTACAATAGTTATAGTGGACATATACTTGGTAAGCTGGTGACCATAGCGACCAGTACCGATAAATTTCACTATGTACTAAAACAAAATGACTAGTGATGAAAAACATTTTTGACTTGTGAAATGGAGGGCCCCTAACAGTAATAATCTATAGTCTGCACACAGCCTCACAAATAGGATTTGGACTTGTTAATAAACATAAAAATAAACATTGTTAAATAGACATTATGGGAGATTAGATAAAGAGCTGACAGTTTTCACTATAATAGTTAAAAACTAGATAATGTAAAGGCAATTTGCTGAAAATTTCAGTAAATTGATCCACTATGAACCGAGATTTTAGCAATTGAATTTTCGGCCTAGCCTTGACCATAATAACTAAAGTAGGATATCGGTAGGATAAAAAACTTAGTCTCGATTATCCATTTCATGATTTAATTATGAATGGAAGTCTAACAGCAAATCGGAACCTAATCCAATAAACATCGCCATCAAGAGTTGATTATGGTCTGGATAAGTTAATTAATGTCTAATAATTTAGATAACATTTCTGGAATAGGCAGATTTACCTCTTGCATAATGTATGTTTAATAAACATCAAATGATCTGACAGCCTACAGATCATGTGATCTTGAACAGTTCTGGGACGGCTCCCAGCATGCACGGGATCTCGTTCGGAGCGATGTATATGTCTTATACATGATAGAGTAAGTGATTTACTATGTAATGCATGATATTTGCAACAAAGAACTCATATATAAAATGAAATGAATGGGGTTTAATGTCCTACTATTCTGCTCCAACTGGGCTAATGAAGACGGGCATATGCCGTACAGTGTGCCATGAGTGAAATTTTCCCAAACAGCAGCATTACAGCCTTATATTGAATTCCAACTGTCAAGGGATCTTTCATGTGCATGCCAATGTGTAGATGGGACCTCAGTTTTTCATCCCATCCAAATGACTAGACAGCTGTCCTCGTCATTCCTTCCATCCTGCACCACTGACAAGGGGAAACCAGAACATCTATACAGCTGTTCATCTATTTAACATATAGAGGAATAAAGATTTTCTACCAACCTGTTCCATGATATATTTAACTATAAGTTGTTCAACACTGGATGAGAAAGAATAGTTATTTTCTAACAACGAGATAATTAAAGAATCTAATATTTTTTGTGAACCATACGGTAAGCGAGAAACACCACCTTCTATCACAAAACCTGAAAGATAAATGTATGCATAAAATATAACTTTGATATGTATGTTGACCTAATATCAGGTGTGGATCCAGAGGGGGGGGGGGGGACTGTGTGTATGTATGCCTACGTAATTTGGAGACGATGGTAGTATCATACATTGTCAACTGTCAAATATGACATCAATTTTTATTATGAATTAATAGGATCACATTGGTAATCATTTTCATTGGTGCAAAGCATTAATTGTGATATCAAACATGTCTATATCATTATTTCCCACTTTGAATGCCAATCCCATCCCACCATCTGATGATAAAGGATAAAGCATATGACTGACATTTTTGTAGCTGAGCAGGAGCAGGGGGGAATTAGACCCCCGTTTACGGTAACATTGGTAATATTTCTATTCTTTGTTCAATATATCTTTGTTATTTACCATCAAATATTGGTAATATTTCTATTAGTCATTTAATGTATCTGTAGTACTTACCATCAAATATTGGTAATATTTCTATTCTTTGTCCTATATCTACTATAATTCCTGATGTAGCTTTATAAGAGTAAAGTGAAAGTAGAGATTGTTGAACCATACAAACACCACATGTATGTAAATCATCTATTAATATATTCATCAAACCTTCCTTTAAATTATCACCTAAACTCTGTGGTGTACTTAACATCACCTACAATTAAAGCACAGAACATATCTAGTTTTGAACACGGAAAGGAATTATTTTATGAAGTTATTTTTGTCTCTTTGGTAATTTGTGCAATGCTAGAGGAGAATTTCTGCATAATTTCATCCAATTTCAACTGTCAATATGTACGACCACTTGTCATCCCTACAGGTGCTACCCTTGACCAATTGGAACCGGGCTGTGACCTGATGTGTTTACTTAAAATAATGACTTCTCCCTAGTCACCTGTTCTTACAGGCCCTCTACTCACACATTGGTAACATAGAACAACGTAACACAGGCTTGCAAATTCTTGAGAATCTTGTCCTCCCATGTTATTTTTCAAACCTTCTTGTTGAAAATCCAGTAGGCTACCCAACAGCTCAACTACGACGACCTCCAAAATAAAACTTTGAATAAAACAACCATCTTTCTGCAGACAAAACTCTGATCAACTTCCAAGTCCAAGGCAAAATCTCCTATTGTCTGCACAGAGAACAGAAGGTAACAGTTGGCATATATGTTTGTCATGGAAAGAACCTAATAAATTTTATGGTTTTAAACCAGGAACAGGTTTCATACAGGTTTATGAAAAAAACCTAAAGCTCTGCCGATTCGAGTATGATCCACAAATAAACTTAACATGCTTGTTATTTGAACAATAGTGCATCTATCGACAGACTTTCATATTTGAATGTCCTGGAATTTGCATATTGTCAGACAAGGCCAGACAATAAAAAAATCTGCAACTTACCCAATATTGTGATGGATTTATTTTTAATTCTTGAATTATTTTTTGAAATATAATTTTTATAGCTTTCCAATCTATTGTGAACTGGAAATCAAAAACACAAGTATTAAAGTAATTTTAGATGAAAATTTTGCTAGCCAATCAATTTTTCAAGTGTTTTATTCATCTCCTGGTATATCGGATTAGCCATACAATATTTTTCAAGGAATATAAAGATTTTATCATTTTTAAACTATAGATTATCATATTTATTGTTTTCAAACAAAATGAAATGAAATGAAATGGGGTTTAATGTCCTACTGTTCTGCTACGACTGGGCTAATGAAGACGGGCATATGTCATACAGTGTGCTATGAGGGACATTTTGCCTGGGAAGCAGCACTATGGCCTACTTTTATATCGAATTCCAATTGTCAAGGGATCTTTTACATGCACGCAATGTGTACACGGGACCTTGGTTTTCGTCCCATCCAAACGATTAGACAGCTGTCCTTGTCAGGCCCTCCGTCCTGCACCACTGACAAAGGGAAACCACGTTGGAAAATCTTGATGAACTTTCTCTGCCTGTTTTGAAACAAAAAGTATTTATTTTCTCTTCTTAACTACTTTTAGTTTTATGTTTTTTATGCTTTGAAATTTAAAACAAAAAATGATTCATAGGACACAAGTGGATATTTATTATCAAGACCAAAAATAACTTTAAATTAAATTTGGTTTGGCCTTAATCTTCAATTCATGTAGAAATCAAATATTTTTCAAGTCTTGAAAATAAAAATGTCCACAACAATAAATATCACAGAATATAAATCATGCTAATATCAAACAACATGCATTTCTCACAAATATTCAAAATAGATATTTATCTTGGAATTTGGATTTGTGACTGCATAAGTAATTTTTTCATGAATTTTGGTAGCTATGGATCACTGTATTGATGTCAATCTGGCAGTGATATGATGAAATCGGTTATATGGGCCGTGTTTCAACAAGGACATTGATGTTTTGTGCATAGAGAGTGATGGATAAGCCCCAAATTGTTATTCCCTTAAATAACATGCACCCCTAGTTCAGGGGAGTGGGGGAGTTGGGGCGTAATATTCAGTACTATTTATACAAAGCCTTTTCGGATTATCTGATGAGAAAACAGAAATATAAATGATATTATTATGCTTTATAACATCAGGAGGCCGGCCGGATCTGTACGCTGGGAATTCCCCCACAAGCTTCCCCTATAACCATAACCTTGCCAGTGCATTGCGCTAAATTCGTTTGAAGTTGCATTTAGCAGAAAATACACGTAATAAACATAATATCATAATGTAGAACGCAATCAATATTTTAATTAAAGTAACATTTTGTTGACAATCCTCAAAATGTTATAAAGCAAAGGAACTTCAACAAAACATCACTTTCAACTAAAATAGTGATTGTATTCCATATCATGTTATTGTGTTTATCAAGCAAGAATAAAGCAAAGTTCATTATAACATCAGTAATTATCGGGAAATCATGCTATCACTGTTTGCTCAATCAACCCTAACTGCCATCTGCGAGTACAAGCAGTGCCATTGTGTGTTCAAATCGCATTAGATGCATGCAGAAAGTTAAACCCGTGTGACACCTAAATAGTCTTGAAAAAAAACCTTAAAAAAATTCCTGCATGCATTTATAAATACAATATTCATGCTTGAAACACAACATTCAAACTTTGTGCCAAAATTATTTGTAATAAGTTAAACGAGGTAAATCTTCAAACAGTGTGTAGTGTATAACATGAACTTATTACCAAAAGTCTTTTATGGAGAGGGGGGGCTGCACATGTCTAACCTCGTGGGTTTTCTCCTGGTTCTCTGGTTTCCTCCCACTGCTAAAGACACCTACGCGCAAGCAAATTATTGAAATAAAATTGAACCATGTGTTATTCCCAAAAGGACCTAGTTAGTGTCGAGTGGAATTTAAACGCAGTCTATCTCTCTCTTTTATGGAGAGAGAGAAATATGGGGTTTAACATCCACTGGACACTAACAAGGTCATTTCAGGACTAACATGTGGTTCAATCTTATTTCAATAATACACTTACGTGCAGGGGTCTTCAGCAGTGGCTTGAAACAAATGGGATCAAAACTGTACCACTTGACTCAATGACAGACCTTATGATCTAAAGCCCTTGGGTTGGACCACTTGAACTCCCCTCCAACCATATCTTTAATGGACTAACCAACATCATAAATAAAATGGGGTTTAACATTCTACTTTTCTGCATCAACTAGGCTAAAGAAAACAGGCATACATCATGTGGTGAGCTGTGAGGGAAATATTTTCCGGAGAGCTGTAGTTCCACCTACTCTTCATCAAATTTCAACTGTCAAGAGATCTTTTACGTGTACATCAAATGGGTGAACCTGTGTTTTTATGTCTCATCCAAACAACTAGGCAGTAATTTCATGTTATACAATACAATAGATGTAGTGCCTGATAAATCTCATCATGCTATATCAACAATTTATATACAGCATTCAATAAACATCAACAATGTATACAGCATTCAAACAATGTTGTTAATTTTACTTACTATAGCTATAGATTCCTTCAATAAATATTTAATATATATCTCATTAATAGATTTATAATATCTCAATTCTTAAAGCTGAACTCTGATTACAAAACTATAGAAATAATTAAATAAAAACGCCCTAAACAACAGCCATACTTGTTTTCAATTTGTGGAATAAACATGGCGATCGCTTAGGGGTAACAAAAACACATGCAGGACACGCCCACATCCAGTATATTCCGTGTAAAGCAAAGTGTCCACATCCAGTTAACTAGTCAACTACCAGCTTACGGAAAATATTATTTTATTTTATTTAATTATTTCTGTAGCTTTGTAATCGGAGCTCAGCTTTAATTAATTCCAATTTTAATGTTTTATCAGAAAGTCAAGATATATAAAAGTTATCATATTATATAAAAGGTCCACTTTGAAAATTCTACTCTTTACAATGTATATTATACTTGTCAAATTCTGATTGTGATGTCATATTCAGTGAATATTCTGTATATGACAATAATAATACATTAATAAATTTATGTTTAATCAAATAGACAAATTTTGGTCAATTCAACATGTTATATTCAAAGTAGAAAGTATCAAATTTCTGATGACTTAATCAAAGATAATGTGAACTGGTTGGTTATTTAACATTTAATTAAGAAAACAAAATCAAAATACCAATGCTAGAAAATCTCCCGGCTTGGATTCAATTGGAATTAAGATAGACCCATCAATTTAGTTCGCGGGAAATAAAGATGGCAGCTGTTACATAGGGAGCAATACAGAGCGATGCAATTTTCAATTCGTCAGATCTTTAAGTTTCTCCCTTAATAGTATAATTCAATGCAAAAATGAAAGTAGAATTACCTTGTCTATCTTATTAGAAGGGTGGACTGGATGTATGAGATTTGAATTACACCGAACGTCTGGATGGTAAGCGTCTACACCTATTACTATATCACCATTTGTCTTGTTCACTGCTGCTGTACACGGAAAAAACATCTGTGGTAAGGAGGCTGAAAATCAGAACAAAAATTCTTGACATACATGTTGTATTTAATAGGTTGCTACAGAGTCTATCCTTAATGGAGCCATGGGTAAGCAACTCCAGGCTTTTAGATGTTATTTTCTAAAATTCAACTAGAATTAAAACTCAACTTACCATGTTCCCCTAATAATCCAGCTCTTATTGCACTGCTTCCCATATCGATAACTAGCACTTTCTATAATAAATACAAAAAATATATTACATCATATCAATAACTAGCACTTTCTATAATAAATATAAAAAATATAATACATCATATCAATAACTGGCACTTTCTATAATAAATATATTACATCATATCAATAATTAACACTTTCTATAATAAACATATTACATCATATCAATAATTAACACTTTCTATAATAAATATAAAAAATATATTACATCATATCAATAACTAACACTTTCTATAATAAATATATTATATCAATAACTAACACTTTTTATAATAAATGTCGCATATATATTATCATTTATTTTATTGTATATTTTTATAGCGCCCATCTTCCATGACTAGTGCTCACGTGCACTTTACAAAATATGGTATAGAAATTAAATATACAAATTAATACTTTCTATTAAAAATATCACAGGCATATTAAATATAATTTAATACTTTCTATAAAATTATCACAAACACTAGCATATTTAATCAATATAGGCTTCCCCTCAGTTTCTGAATAAATATTGTTTATAAAAAAAAATATAGTTAACCATATTAGAAAAGAAAAATTATACAACCAATGCTGTGGCGAGCAAGTGGCTTGCTAACAAGGAGGTCCTGAGTTCAGTCCTGGTGTTGCTGGCCGAGCAAGTTTCTTTTTCCAGAGGTGCAGGACAGAGGGCCTGACAAGGAACAGCATATTTATGTATGCAGATGGACAGGGGTGACATCATTATACTGAGTACTGTCCCTTTAAATGGGTTTATCAAAAATCTAAATAAATTTACCTTTTTAGGATGTGGTATAGATGTTAGAACAGGTTGAACGTAACATGCTTTCGTATTATCTAATGTTTGACTTTCTAAAGCTAATAACCACTGACCATATTCTTTATCTGTTGGTACACGGACCATTAAAAATCTTCCTCTCTATACAATAATAATATAAACACTGATTAATCTAGTCTACATTTCAGCAAATTTAATTTTTATTTTCATTAGGTTCTTTGCAATCAAAATTCAGTATTTAAATTCTAAATATACAATAATTTGATATTTCCAAGACGAACACTGAGAAGTCTGCAATAAATCATATTTGTGTTACACATATTTTTAGTGTTACATTCACTTTAACATTTATAGGGAGCTAAGGTGGCTCAATAAGCCCGTTTACATTACAAATTTTAAGCGTACCAGGCACGGTACCTTGCGCGGCACACTTCACTTTTTAGTAGTGTAAATGGGTCAATCTGGCCCATTGAATTGAGGTGGTCTCGGAACGGTGCCAGGACCGGCTCGCTTTAAATGTTCGTAGTGTAAACGCTAACTGGTCTGAGCACGGATTACTGCGGATGCGCCAAATGAACCTTGACCTTTTTTCCCCGCAAACTTTGACAGCTCTGTCATCCGTTCTGTGAAAATGGCTGCTCAAACTAAATCAACCATCATAATTGTTTCCATCTGGGTAATTTGTACTTGGCACGGTTCTGAGACCGGTTATTTTAGAGTACTGTAAACGGGTCAATTTCTTGAAATTTATCGCGGCCTGGTACCGTGCCCAGAACGGCACGCTTATCGCGGCCAAGTGTAAATGGGGCTATGGAGTCAAGTGCTAGCTAGCTCGCTAACCAGGAGGCCCTGAGTTCTATCCTGGTGTTGGCCGAGAATCTTCTGGCGTGGTTTCCCCTTGTCAGTGGTGCAGCACAGACAGCCATCAAGACTAAATTAAAAACACATCTGTATGTGTTGGAAATCTACATATTTGTTATTATAAATATCTGTGGACTGCTTCACTCAATCATATTAGCCACATGAGATTAAGAACAAACTTACCCCATCATCTATTCCTAGTATTTTAGATCCGAGATCCGTCATTTCTAATATCTTTCCTCCCATCAGCTGCACGCTATCACTGGGTTTATCCCGATTACCACTCTAAAATAAAAATATCATATCATAATCCGAAAAAATATAGATTTTAAAAATACGTAGAAATATCTAATATTGTAAGACAGAAATAAAATGGGGTTTAACGTCCTACTGTTCTGCTCCCATACTGGCAGGGCTGTCGGTAATTTTTCACACTTGATTAGCAGCACTGCTAATCAAAAAGTCCAATTTTGCCAAATTTGATTAGCAAATTTAAAAATTGATTAGCAGTTTTTCAGTTTCAACGTAAAACACCTAAATAACAAGATATTACTTTAATTCATAACGAATTGAAATATGATTAGATTCCATTCTGACTATTCTTAGATTTTTTAGCACTGCCACAAGTACTTGTGACAGTTTGTGAATGTGATGTAGACATTTAGTTAGGTCTTAGTCTTACGTCTGAAGCCAATTCTTGACAGTGACTTCCGAAGCCCCACTCATTTTAATTGTAATTTTTTTGTTACGTTAGAAATCTTCGTTAGAAAACAATTTCGTCTGCTTTTTATCGTGTATTATTATTTTTGTTCAATCGGGCGCACCTCGATTAACTAGACACACGCGATATAAACAATAATATTTTACGGGAATTTTTACTTTGATTTATCATTTTACAATACGTTAACATGTGTTTATTTTTTTTATATTTTATTTACAATACGTGGGAGATACACTGGATTTATTTCTTTCAAAATGAATATGATATAATTACTTGATGTCTCACAACGTGAGTGGTACTATTGATTCCCTATTTCCGGTTTAAAAGTCCCTATTCATAGAGTTATGTCCCTGTGTTATATAGTATTGTGTCTGGGCAGTTCGAGAAGAAAATGTCACACGGAGAATTCAGTTTTGTTTATAAAATTTTATTCAACATTTTATACACGTTGAGTAAGCCTTCTAGTCTTCAAAATGTGGATTATTCTTGTGTCAATATCCAAAATGACAGGCATATTAATGATTCGCAGTAACTGCGAATCAAAAACGTTAGATTTTAATTTTTGGTTAGCAACGGACAAAATATGTATCGCAAATTGCGCTGCGATACTGGTTGTCGGCAGCCCTGCATACTGGGTTAATGAAGACGGGCATATGCCATACATTATGCTATGAGGGAAATTTTACCCGGGCAGCGACACTATGGCCTACTCTTACATCAAATTCCAACTGTCCAGGGATCTTTTACGTGCACACCAATGTATACACGGGGCCTCGTTTTTTCATCCAATTCGAACGACTAGACAGCTGTCCTTGTCAGGTCCCTGTCCTGCACCACTGACAAGTGGAAACCACGTTGGAAAATCCCATTTAACTTTCTCGGCCAACACTGGGAGTGAACCCGCGACCTAAATGCTAGGGAGCCAGCGTCTTATTCATTTAGCTACCTTGGCTCCTTTCATAAGATAGACATTTGTAGAGATGCTATGGCAGTTTATCTTGATTACCACTCATAAAACATGTTTAAAAATAGAAAATATCTAATGTCTATGAACATTAACGAGTAAGAGTGTTAGGTAAGTTTGTAATTTTCCTTGTGTGAAATTAGAGCAATCAAAGTCTTGAATCAGCATTTAATTGATTGTTAACCCCTGGTTAACTACAATATAGTGAAAAGAGAGAGAGAGAAAAATGAGGTTTAACATCCACTTGACACAAACTAGGTCATTTCGGGACTAACACATGGTTCAATTTTATTTCAATAATTCGCTTGCGTAGGGGTCTTTAGCAGTAGGAGAAAACCCACGAGGTGGGACAGGCGAACCTACTCCTTGTCACAAAATATAGTGAAAAGTTGAATTTTTAAAAGGAATATCAATAGAATTCTGTTCAATATTTACAAAGATATGATGAATTAAAAATCAATCAACATCAGACAAATACTGAAATTGGGTCTCCTTTAAATCCAAATCAGGAGATTATCTACCGTTGATATTTTGATTTTCCTGAAGAGGGCTGCTCAGTCACTCAGGATGTTGCGGGTTCCTCTGCTGCTTGGTTCATAGGAAGACGACCAGTGTTCTTAGTAGCCTGTGTGCAGCTTTGTAGCTGTAGCTGCCAGTGTATCCTTACCTGCTACGTCAAAGCGCCCCCATCGCTACAGGGCTTTACGGTTTAAACTTTGAACTGTGAGTATAAAGCCATGAAATGCGCTAAGATTAAAACTTTGAACTGTGAGTATGAAGCCATGACATGCGCTTAGGTTGAAACTTTGAACTGTGAGTATGAAGCCATGACCTGCGCTAAGGTTGAAACTTTGAACTGTGAGTATGAAGCCATGACCTGCGCTAAGGTTGAATCTTTGAACTGTGAATATGAAGCCATGACCTGCGCTAAATGTAGAGAACTTGCGTATAATCCTCCACACTCTCTCGTCCAGGATCACCTGGATCCAGTGGCAAGACATGTTAAATAATCAATTTGAGTTTATATAAGCATGGATCAAGCGAATGAATATCAGTGATTGTAACTAGTGGGCCTACTTACTTCAAAATAATGTATCCACCCATCCTTCGCTTGAAAATAACGTCTTTTCCATGTTTTTAATAAAGTTGCTTTCTTTTTGTTCATCGGTAATTTTTCCATATATCCCTCCATTGATACATATTTATAGGATATATCTTCGTCCGTCTGGAAAACACAAGTCAAAATTTTAATTCATAGTACATGTACAAAGAAATGAAATGGGGTTAAACATCCTACTATTCCCGTGCCAATGAGCTAAAAAAAAAAGATGGGCATACCCCCATTCAGTGTACTCTGATGGAAACTGAACAAAACATCTTCTTCACGGAGTAATTTAGGTCAAACTCAACCAGGCTTAAACTGGGAATAACCTACTGGATGTAAATAAAGGAATACAGGAAAACAAATCATGAGGGGACAACTTTAATTATCTCCCTTTAGTCTTCAGACTGTTTATTTGAGACCAATACCAATCATATCTAAATAAGTTCACATTATAAAGTTTTAATCTATAACAATTTCACAATATCTAGGCCAAAACAATGTGTCCAATCTGCCGTAATATTTAAATATGCAAGCTTTTTTTTTTTTTTATTAAATATGGATGGTGTTTCAGAATCATGTTGATTCCAATTATCTCCCTTTAGTCTTCCAGATCCTACTGTAGTAAAGACAAGTAAAACGAAATTTTGAACTATAAAAAACGAAATAAAATAGGATCTGTGTTTTAACTAGATTGCTTTTACAAGGTTCTGAATAAGGATTTGTGATTTAGCTTTTTTTTTTCTTTTCTTTTTTTTTAAACAATTTTTTTATTCAGTTTGTCTGAATGGGATTGGGGAACAGGCTTAGCCTATGTAAAACCCCTCTCCCTGAATCTAGCTTTCATGTGAAGAACATCAAAAGAACAAGAAGAGAGAGAGAGAGAGAGAGAGAGAGAGAGAGTTTAACTTTCACATTACACAACTTGGGTCAAATCGGGACTAACATATGGTTCAATTTTATTTCAATAATTCACATGTGCTTATTAGGGGTCTTTAGCAGTAGAAGGAAACCAGAAGATCTGGAGTAAACCCACAAGATTGGACAGGTGATCCTACTCCTTGTCACCTACAACCAGGGAATCAAAGCCACGCCACGTGACTCAATGACAGACCTTATGATCCAAAACACACGAGTTAAATAATTCTACCACCCCCCGAACAACAACAAGACAACGAAGTGTACAGAATCAGGTTCCTAATTCAAAAATATGAAACTTACCTCTTCAATTAATTTAACGTGATAAAGTTTCTTCAATAGTTTTATCTGAAAAATACATTGATTTAAATAGAATTTATTATTTGAGAAAATAATCGAAAAAGATAAAAGATAGAAGGAAGTGAATGGGTTTAAAATATTGTCAACATAATAATCTGATCATTTTAAAACAGATATATTTATGGCAGGTTTTTTTTTTCTTTGGTTATAAGGTGAGGTGGAGCCTTTGGTAAAGAAATGAAATGAAATGGGGTTTAATGTCCTACTTTTCTGCTCCAATTGGGCAAATGGCAATGGGTATACGCCATCCATTAAGCTATGAGGGACATTTTTTCGAAACAGCAACCATCTCCGACTTCTGCTTTACTGAATTCCAACTTTTCAGGGTCTTTCAATTCGAACGATTACATGTAGGTAGACCTGGCCCTATGTCCTTCCTGTATCACTAACAAGGACAAACCATGCTGGACAATCACAAGGAACTTTACCAGCCAACACTGGGATTGAACCCTTAGACCTCTAGGTTAGTGAGCCAGCACCTTTATCACTGAGTTACTGTGGCTCCCATTTTGTAACGAAATCGAGGTCGGACAAACTTTCCTTTGAATTCCAAATGCCAAATGAGGGGAGAGTAATGTAAGATGACCTCTGAGCATTACAGGAAATATTGTAAATGCATTCATGTATTCTAAAAAATGAATAACTTACTGGATTCCACGACATTAAATTCATCCGTGGTGTAACGACAAGCACATCATCCTCTTCAACATCACCATTGCTTAAACCCGATTGGTTACCTTTCTTGATGTTGATTGGCCGTAATTTCTTGTCATCAGAATCTGATTGGCTAGTGACTGTAGATGAGACAGTTGTAATATTGAGTTTTTGCGATGTAGCGCCTGCTTCATCATTCTGTTTACCATTATTTTGAGACAATTCTGCAAATAAACAAAAAATTAAAAAATTAAAGGGGAATAACTCTAATTGTCATAGTAACATAAATGGATTCAAACCACCAAAGTAGATTATTTATAGACTATTTTATATTACAGGCTTTCCCTCCTTTTTTTGGGTATAAATTCATAGAGAAGAGTTTGAACTGATATCTTCTGCTAGGTTTTGGTGAAAACACATAATTTTTAGGCAGAAGTATAACATGTAGTTCAATATAGTATCTGCCATTTCCAGTTTGTGTATCTTAAAGGGGAAGACCAATGATTTTCAACAAGATTTCCATAAATATTTGTTTTCTTTAATCACTATGAATTAATTTACAAAAAGAATTTGTGTATTTATTATATGTTAAAAGAAAAGAGATTAATTTCATGTTTATAATATCATAATAAACAGTCCCTTTGATCAGATTTTTGGCCAACAAAATAGAGCGCTAAACATATGGCAAATCTGTATGTTTACTACAGAGACTAAAATTAATTTCTCACTTACAAAAACTTTTCTGCTTGTGTTACAGAGGGGATTATTTTTGAATATATATTTAAAATTTATGGAAACACTGTTCAAAATCATTGGTCTTCAGCCTTTAAGATTCCATGGTAGATATTTTTGACCATGAGTTCGAACAGGACAAAGGGTTGAGAGTTAATATTAAAGTCAAATAAATCTAGTAAACTTGACACAGCGATTTAGATAGTGTTCTACAGTGATTCAATAAAAACTCTACTTCATTCGTTTATTTCCTTTTCATTATTTCATATATTCTGAGTAATCCCTTCATAAAATAATTCATCCATTCATTCACTCTGATATCTTATTCATTTATTCTTATTCATTCAATCTTTTATTATGGCATGTATTTCTTCCTTTATTTACTCATTCATTCTTTCATTCATTTATTCAGACATCTTTTAAACAAAAATATTCCTGACCATCTTCTGTTGTTATTTCATTTATTTATTGATAATGTACATGGTTTGTTCAGTTATTTCATTCATCCTTTATTTCATCAATTATTATGTCACAGATATGTTTTCATTAAATTTACTGATTCATAACAGTACTCATATGTAATGATATGTAAAAATGAAAATGAAATGAAATGGTGTTTAACATCTTACTGTTCTGCTCTGACTGTGCTAATAAGACTGGCATACGCCATACATTGACCTATGAGGGAAATTTTGCCTACTCTTATATCAAATTCCATCAGCCAAGGGATCTATTACGTACACGCCAACAAAATGAAATGAAATGGAGTTTAACGTCCTACTGTTCTGCTCCTAACCTGGGCTAATGAAGACGGGCATACGCCATACAGTGTGCTATGAGGGAAATTTTGCCCGGGCAGCGGCACTATCGCCTACTCTTATATCGAATTCCAACTGCCAAGGGATCTTTTACGTGCACGCCAATGTGTACACGGGACCTCGGTTTTTCGTCCCATCCGAACGACTAGACAGCTTTCCTTGTCAGCCCCTCCGTCCTGCATCACTGACAAGGGAGAACCACGCCGGAAAATCTGGATGAACTTTTTCGGCCAATGCAGACACACGCCAACAAGTGTAATGATATGTAAGATGATATGTAACAGTATTTATCTAATTACTAATTCATAACTATATGTAGCAGTATTCATTTTTTTTACTGATACCCGAACAGTAAGGGCACAGACCACTCAAATAAAATGGCCAGGGTCCATTTGAACTTTCTATTTCATTCATCTAATATTTTCTTCTTTTCTTTTAGTTTTTATATACTTCATCTATATTTATGTTCAGTTATTTTATCATTTATTTGTTTATCTATGAATCTATCTATTGCTTGTCTTGTATTCATATACATTGTGTTGTCTCCAACCTAATTTATCTTTGAAGACACTGTGGTTCAGTGAGTATGATATTGCCTCACTGAACCAGGAGGTGCTGTTAGTTGAGAAAGTACCGAGTAATCTTCCAGTCTGGTTTTCCCAGAGATAATTTGGTCTAAACAAAACTGATACTGTGTTTTCAATGTTTTGTTTGTCAGTTACCTGGAATGTCACATCTGCCAAACATGTAATATTGTTACACAACATCATGGCATTTTGTCAGGTACATCATACCATATAACCAATGTTGTATCTGTTATTATAAAGAAGCTGTTATGTTTAATAGTTTTATGTAAGGTATATGATGCAGTTATACAAGAGTATTAAATACACTACAGGACACCATAGTGTGATCTCAAACCATAAAGTAATATATTTTCTGGATCACAAGATTTATTTCTCAGCAGGTTGTTTAACCTCAACACAACATCATGTGATGTATGAAGTATGTTATACAAACAATATTGACTTACATAAATATCAGAGGCCTTTTTCAGGAAAACTTAAATGAAGAGAAATGGGGTTTAAAGTCTACTCAACACAAATTAGGTAATTTTGGGACTAACATATGGTTCAATAATTTGCTTGCACTTAGTGATTTTTACCAGTGGGAGGGTCAAGAGAAAACCTACAAGGTTGAAGAGGTGACCCTACTCCTTGTCACGTACAAGTGGAAAATCGAAAACAGCCACATGATTCAATGACAGACCTTATGATCTAAAGTGCCCACGTTAAACCATTCGGCCATCCAACCCCCTTTAAATCAATATGTTAACCTTCTCATTAATCTAAAGTCCTAATGTTGATCAATGTAAATTGGTATTAATTTAATATCGTACATGTTGATCAATGTAAAGGGAAGTAATTAGTCACATGAATCATGATATATTATAAAAAGGCGTTTGTTAAAACAATAAATTAATCTTACAAGTTTCCTGTTTCATGACACATTTAGGTTTAAATAAACAACTACGACTGCACTATGCACCGGGAATCAGCCATCTTGGAATTATGATGTTGTATCAAAAAACAAAGTCCATTAATCAATGCGAGAGAGAGAGAGAGAGAAATTGGGTTTGACGTCCACTCGACACAAACTAGGTTATTTTGGGACTGACATATGGTTCAATTTTATTTCAATACTGCTCTTGCGCATAGGGGTCTTTAGCAGTGGGTGGAAACCAAAGGCTTTGAAGAAAATCAATGTGGTTGGACACATACAACTGGGGAGTCGAAACCACGCCAGTTGACACAATGACAGACCTTCTGATACAACGTGCATGTGCTAACCATTCCGCCATCCAACTCCCCACATTTCGAAGGGTATTCTCTCAAGCTTGAAAACATTGAGAGAATACTTTTCGAAACATCACCTCAATAAATCAGTAATTGTTCTTCCATAAGTATGTGTTGTAGTTTAATACATATACATTGTCCTGTGTGTGTAAAAGACCAAAATTCGCAATAAAATTAATGATTTATTAATAGTTTCTGTTGAGTGGACATTGAACCCCATTTGTTTCTCTCTAATAGTTTGATTGCGTCTGGCAAACCTGACACAAAAAAACACACCCTGTCCAGAAGTTATGGGTTGAAACACATAATGTAATGTTTATGATATGTTTATAACTGGTGGAGATTTTAACTAGTTAGCGTTAAAGATGATATCGACTGGCATCAGTTAGTATCATCATACCGTGTTTACAGACGTCAGAGGCGTTAGTAGACTACCTGGCAGATATCCAGGTAACTTCACATAATGTTCCTGGAGAAAAACTCACTCAACCTCAATAATTAATACTGCAGGTATATTTAAGTTGGTTTCAGGCTTTCATTATCAGATAAATTTTGCGTCTTTTCCCACGGCTCAACAAATATACAGTAATTAGTGAGTAAATAGGATATTAGTTCATGTTAAAAAATGTGTAGAAATAAAACGAAATCTTTGCCCAGCCTAGACCTTGGCCTCATCACTTAATTAATGAGTAAACAGGATATTAGTTCATGTTAAAAAAACATGTAGAAAGAAAACAAAATCTTTGCCCAGCCAAGCCCAGACCTTGGCCTCATCACTTAATTAATGTCTGTAAATAGATTCAAATTTTAAGAATTTAATTGGAACAAAATTTAATTAGTCGTCAACACTAGACTTGGACGCTTAGAGACTAAAATATGGCATTTTTCAGTTCAATGGGTAGATGTGCAATTCGAAAGAGAGAATTTTCCTGGACATTGGCGTTTCCATCTGCTATCAAATGACAAGGGTTCTTTCTTGTACACACCACTGTGTTTAAACGTGGAACTCAGTTTTTTTATTCCTATTCAAACAACCGGGCACACTTTCCATGTCAACCACGCAGACGCAACCTCTACAACTGAAGGCTAGGCATAAGAATCCTGGATTCAAAAGAGAGACGTTCTAATAACGAGTCCTGTCCCCTTAAGATTAGACTACCACGGCCCCCTACTTCTGTAGAACTGCTCAGCCTGTCTGAAATTATTGCCATGAGACCTGACTGACGTCAAAACTGTACTTCTTTCAAAAGAAATAAAATAGCGTTTATTGCCCTATTTTTCTGCACTGGGCTAATGAAATGAGGATCTCCTCATCAGATATATAAATTAAAACCACCAACAGAAAATATACGTTTATTTAAATTCAACAAAATATATCTACACAGACTTACGGTACATTTATATCCTACCCAAATATTTCATAAAATGAATTCAAAACTTAAAGAGACATACCATATAGTAAATATTTACTAGGACCATAAAATTAATAGTTTAATACGTTTAATACGCCTTCATAAAGCCAAGCGATCACACAGACAATGTTTTGTCGCTTAAATTGAAGGAAAAAGCAATTGTTAACCAATAAGCGATGTTTATATAAGCAAATTGCCAACGACGGATCATAGATTGCTATTGTCGTTGATAACGCGACGCGTAAAAAAGCCTCTCCAATGGATGACTGCCATTTTGTAAAAATTGTGCCATGAGAAATTTCTTGTGCAATGTACAATATCAGAGCGATGATCAATCCTTTTTTCACTGAATATTAAATCTATTTGATATCATTTGATATCGGTTAACAAACATTGATATCCACAG